ACCCCTAATCTTGTTCCTAGACACCGAAGACTCATCACCAGAGGTTCCGGAGCAGGGACTCCCAACCTGATCAGTCCGGATATCTCCCCTCAGCTGCACCACTCCGTGGATATCCTCCCTTGGATACTGTGTAAGGGAGACTTCACGATATACAACAGAGCCAGACCCCCGGATAATGGACTCAACTGCTCTGTAAACCCCGTGGCTAGAGAGTTCAACAGACAGATCCATCTAGCCAAGTACTTCTGACTGCAACAAGTGTAAAAGTGGTCGGATTTAACTGCTGGGTGAGAGTGAAAAGAACAGTAACCGTTGATTTTGTTTTAACTTTGACAAAGAAGCAGTTTGTGAGAAAATGAACACGTGGAGATAACACCTCGAGGTTATTTTAAGACACTTGCGGACTTTGTAAATCCATATAAAATATTGCTAGCTCAGTGGTGGCTACACACAAATTCTGCAAACATTGAGATTTTCGGAATGCCATCACTAGTGTCACGAGGCGTGGATTTCCTATCTTACTGTATTTTAAACAGCTGTTTATTTATGTTTACTATTAGTTTATGGTTTATGTTATGTGTTTGTACTGTAAATCTATTTTTGGACATGTGTGTCACACCCAATGAGCTAGAAATACAACTCGTGGTAGCACTGACACATAACTTTGCTAAAAAATCGATATGCTATAAAATATTTTATGTTGGTATCAGCTAGGGAAATCAGCTCATGACTTTGCTTATGTACAATCACACAATCCCTTAGTTCAAATATACTAAGTGCAATGTACTTTTTTTACCTCTAGTAAAATTGGCACCAACGCCTCACAATTCTCTCATTCAGCGCTACCTGAATTCGTATCTCTACCTTAGTGGTCACACCCTCATCCACTAGAGGGCTATTCAAAACCAGCCCTTTCTTTTACGCCACTCTGTACACAACAAAACTATGATTGTGAGCGGCAAGTATATTGAGTTAGCAGATTGTTTTTGCATCAGTAAGATGCCAAGATTACATTTTGAATGCCCTTATGATTATCTATGTATATATTAAATAAACATTGCACCTGAATGACAAGTGTACATTTATTATTCATCAGTCTCAATGTAGTTCTGTATAAGTTAAATAATTTTTTTCAGAAAATGTGAATACATTCAATGAACAACTAAAAAGATTTCAGCCCCAAGTGTAAAATTGGCGAGTAAAGCTTCCAACTACTTCTGATATCATTTTTTTTACATACATAGTTCAATTTTAAACTATTAAGTGGCACGCTTGGTCTGAGGATTTCCCCTAGCCTCTACATATCAGATCGTCAACCATCATGGCTTGATAGTGTGCAGAATTATTTTAGCTTCAAAGCTGTTCACTATTATTCATCAAAATGATCAAAATAATCATTTTGGTTAAAACAGGTTATCAGCCAAAACTGCTTGCCTCCCAAGCATTTAGTGTTTTTGTGTTGACTAGTACAACTACACCAACGACAGAAACTAAACTACTGATGTTAAATTTATCCGAGCTGCTTTGTAAAAAGACGATTACAATTGGCCACCTAAAAATACTCTCTGATTGCAAAGATGCAAGATCTTCACCTTGAACTCCCTAAAGCGATACATCTTGGTTCATGTTATTCTATTTCCACATGACAACGATGCATCATGATCTCGATTTGGATTCTATTTTAGCAAGGTCTTATAGGGGTATGTATTTTTAAATATAGTATACCACTTTCATACAGGTTTAAAATATATCTGTCGGGTTTAAGTTCAAGCACAGAGAAGTAAGACAGAGAATATATTCAATGGTACACTAAGTGGTGTCTATCACCAGTTGCTGGTGTCTAGAGCTAATTCTATTCGTCGTCCCTTCCGCTCCCCTTTCCCTCTTCCCATCACGTACTACAACGCTTAAGCGGCAGGAAGTCCCTATGCGTTACAACTGATGTACAAAAGTGCTATGTGACCATCGCCATTTGGGCTATTCCTTGCTCAGTACGAGTAGATTTCAGCAACACCATTCAATAGCTAAAAGCGCAAGGTTGTCCCATAACCTAGTATTCTCTGGATCTTGCTTCTGCGGTTATAGAGACAGTTTAATGCTACACTAACATTTAAAGAACAGGAAATTTAGGGTATAAAAACTTGTAAATACTGTTTAATTTTATTAAAGACAAAGGAAATTAAAATTAATTTACTATGTACAAAAATATATGAACATACCTAAACTTCTAAAGCACACAAACATGAACATGAAATACATATTTGTGCTTTTTTGGATTTAAACTTTATATTTATACTTTTAATGTCCAATCACAAACAAAAACACAACAAAAGTAAATACATTTTTTACTATCTAAACCATACGCATATATTTAGATACGAGCACCTATTATGATATGGTCAAGATTATGGTAATGATGATTCATATTTAAGCAACGCTGTTGCAAAACTCCTTGATTCCCATGTCAATTAATACATGAAGATTTCTTATCTGTTCTTTGATTATATATATAAAATACTAACTTGATTCAGTAGTCTGACAGGATTGATTTCCAACATTAGAAACATTTCTTGAGAACAAAACAAAATAAGCATTAGGGACAAAACAAGTTTTACAATATCAAAACCTACTACTGTATTTAAAAAATCTAAAAAGGCTTCATACAAACCAAAATAAATTAAGGTTTTATATGTATAAAGCCTTAAAAAGTTACTTCAAATTACTATCTGTCCTACGTAACCTGTTATGGTTGTTTTTGAATAATTGGTGACATAAGGGAATTATTAAGTGAAATTTTTGTTTAGATTGAAAATTACTAAACATACTTAAAAGGCACCCAGTGAAACTATAACTACATACAGTTCCAAGTGACTAGATTAACTACATTTACAATGTATAGTCCATAAATGAATGCCTCCTACATGCCACATACATATTAGTCCATAAAATGTAGTATGTATATGGTTGATTACATGAAAACCTACAATGGAAGATTTAAACTAACTGAATTTTACCACTTGGAATAATTAAACTAAGTTAATCATGAAACAGTGTTTCTACACAAATGCTTTAAACATTACAAATATGTTAGTATACCTTTAAATAAGCTTAAGTACTCATTCTAACTTGCAATAGAAACTCCTCATGTACACTACTCTTGGAATAGGCAAGAAAAAAAATTAACAAGAAGACTACTTATTTACAAAAATCCTATTTAAAAGCTTTGAGAATGTTAGAAGAGAATAAATTATTTAGTTTAAATACAAAGAAGGAATAAGTACAGAAGATATCTGTAGGTGAAAAAGTAAGTTGTGAAACACATCATTTGGGCTGATTTGCTTATCGAACATTGTGCACACACACTTTTGAGTAGTTTCTATTTCCTCATTTGATCACATTCAATGGTGTTGCTGAGATCACTGATCAAGGTGTGTGTTGAAAAAAAGCGAGCCTGGGCTTTAGTGATTTACTCTACTGGATTCCTACTGAAGGAAATTAAGTGACACAATGTCAAATGCAGCCTCAGTTTCATCCATTACAGTCCCACAGCCTTTCTGTGTAATCTCTAATCAATGAATATACATGTTCAGTCATGTAATGGGCTCGGTCAGAAGCAAGACCAAAGCAGCGATGTCCTAAATCAACAGCACTTAAAATTTATTGGTTGATTGTTCTACTGTACCAGCTAACCTCTTGCTTTCATTATACATATCTATGAGTCCTTGTGAACGAGAAATGCAAGGTTTAAAGTTAAAACAAATTATCAACCTCTTTAAAAAGACACGATGGGTGCGGCCTCGGCCCCAAAGTTAAAGCTTAAAGGTTCATTCTTTTCCTCCTATCTCAGGAAGTTGCTTTAAACTCTCTGCGACTAGACATGAGGCAAATAAAATTATTACAGGTGTCGCAGCATGTTACGGATATCGGAAGAAACCCCTGCACTGCTTAAGAATTCATAATGGAGACATGTAGAGAATAAACAGTCACAGGAGACTGCATCTACTGTTTCACTAGACAGATCTTTAAAGGTTGGATGAAGCACTCTTGCAACCATGGTGAAGGGGCACCTGGCTCAGGCAGAGCCTATAGGCATTCTGTAGTTTATCGTATAACTCAAGATTGGCGTTTCTGACAATCTTAGAAGCTGCACTATTAATCAAACTTGAGTGAAACTTACTATGAAAATCAATCTAATCGGGCATATGCCTACATACCATGTAAAAAGAGAAAATAGTGGCAAAGAGAAAAGTGTTTAGAAGGAAAAAATGTCGAGAATGTGAACATCAATGGCAAACACCTGTATTTTCACTATTTCCCCATTGTACTTATTACTTATTTGAGGTGTTACTAATAAAAGCTGATGGAAGATTTAAAAAAAAAAACATTGGAAAACTTATTAGTGTAGGGTTTAAATATACATGTATAAAGCTCTACATGAAATTCAAAAAGGCCTAAACTGTTTAACTACAGTAAAATTTTTCAACTAGCAGCTCATGCAATAGCAGTATTGTAAAATCTACTTTTTGCTATATTTAAAAAGACGGGAATATAAATTGCACTTAATACTTGGATATTAGGCTAACGAGGTATTTTAAGCAAATCCCTGTTTTTCATCATTTTGGCATAATTTCTTCATACACTTCACCTGCATAGCCAACTAATTAATCACTAAATAAACAATTACCTAAGCAAAAAGTGAAAATGTATTATTACATTAAATTAGTACATTAAACAATAACGCACAATTTGTTTTATGTTTTTCACTATGTTATTTTAACTTTAGTTTTTATAGAACAGACTAACAAGTCAAAACGTATTATAAAGATTATTTATATCCTATGTTTAATATTATTTTGAAACCACATGGTTGAGAATTGTAATCCAATAAATTGTTACTTTAAATTTCAAGCAAATTTTTATTTTATCACAATATTTTTATACAAGTTTTTTTGTACATTACATAAAAAAAATTATTATATAAATATTATTAGTCTAGTGGGCTTTGGAGAATAAACGAAAAGCGAATTGCAAAACATACCGGGAAAGGAAATCAAAGAAATAAATAAAAAACCTTTTTAGCAGATTATTGGAACAGTTTCATATTTTAAATTTTTATCAGGTAGAATACTTAGGAAGATCTAGGATTTTAAATCTTGTAAATTTTATATCAACAAATAAAACAAAGAAATAGTGATGCTTTGCATTTTAACCCGTATTACTTTAATGGGTCTACAATGCATTTAGCCTATTTCAAATTTCAACATATCTTAAAACATATTTAGGTAACAAAACAAGAAAATACAAAATATAAAAAAAAACAAATTTAAAAAAATACATTTTTATGTCGAGTGAAATTTGGAAAGTGTGTACATTTAACCAAACTTATGATCAAAATAATTCCAGAAATTTGTTAGGTGGTATCATATTAAGGTACGTTTGTACACAGATTTGTAGTGTACCTCCAGAAGTGTAGTGTAGTAAAAGACCATTTTACCTCAAAATAAAAAAGGTTTTAATTGTTTGCTTAGGCATTTTTGGACAGTCCTTCTAACTTCAGTTTATAGAAATCTTATGTTATTAAATTATTAAATCAAGCTTTTACAACAATCTGCGAACGATTAAAATATTAATAATGAGTACTTGTTCGTCAACATTATAGGATAGTCAAAGTAACCACATTGTACAGTATTCTTCCAAAAAACTATTAAATATTCCCCTAAGGTAAATTAAATTTAAACCTGTATACAAGTTATTTGAGACAACCCACACACAAAAATAACTTTTAAATAAAAATTCATATTGCGTCATTCAGTTTAAGTCCATGATCACAGCGTTGTAGTTCTTACAACACAATCTTTTTCACAAAGCAAGTAGACAAATGTTTATACATTGACGATTCCCTAAAATAAACATGTGTAAGCCAAATAGGTGGCTTAATTCAGTGGGATTCTACAAATAAATAGGATTAACTAATACTACTTTACACATCACGATCGCAGAACTCCACCAGGGTTACTGCATCTTCGACAGTTCGAACTTTGTGTTCATTATTTCCTGGAATTTAAAAATGACCAACGGTTAATTTAAATGACACTAAAGCTAAGCAGGCAATATTTACATTTTCACCAATTATTATACATTATCTATTGATACTGATAGTAAACTTTTAGTTGATAGTAATTATGAAAATGTTTCCACTCATGCTGTATAGGATATTTAAAGCTTTTGATACACTTCACATGACAAGGCATTGTGTATTGCGTTGTTGCATTTTGACAAGGCAAAAAGCCAAACGTTACTGGCAGAATATGAACTATTGTACATTTTGGCCTTTGTCCCATTGACCTATGGCCTTTGACCCATTGACATACCTATGGCCTTCGATCCATTAACATACCTATAGCCTTTAAACCATTGACATACCTACGGGTCAAAGACCCATTGACATACCTATGGACTTTGACCCATTGACATACCTAGGGCTTTTGACCCATTGACGTACCTATAGCCTTTGACCCATTGGCATACCTATATCCTTTGACCCATTGACATACCTATGGCCTTTGAACTATTGACATACCTATAGCCTTTGACCCATTGACATACCTATAGCCTTTGACCCATTGACATACCTATGGACTTTGACCCATCAACATACCTATAGCCTTTGACCCATTGACATACCTATGGCCTTTGACCCATTCACATACCTATGGCCTTTGACCCATTGACATACCTATGGCATTTGATCCATTGACATACCTATAGCCTTTAAACCATTGACATACCTATGGCCTTTGACCCATTGACGTACCTATAGTCTTTGACCCATTGACATACCTATGGCCTTTGAACTATTGACATACCTATAGCCTTTGACCCATTGACATACCTATAGCCTTTGACCCATTGACATACCTATGGACTTTGACCCATCAACATACCTATAGCCTTTGACCCATTGACATACCTATGGCCTTTGACCCATTCACATACCTATAGCCTTTAAACCATTGACATACCTATGGAACTTTTAAACATCTTTGCCACCAAGACTGATAATTGAATATAATATAATAGGTTACGTACCTTATTCCGTCTTTAGTCTTAACTTAGTCAATGCTGGATGACTAGTTTCGGGAACAAAGTCCCATTATCAAATCCTTATTAAAACATCAATTGAATATGGTCAAATATCCGATGTAAGTCTTCATCAATGTATACATGCAGGTTGACGACACATAAAGTTTACACATTTTACATAAATATAGTTACAAAAACAATTACGATAGGCCGGCCACAATGATTGCTCCAAATTATACATAGGCCAATCGGGACGCTCCTTTAATACCAGATTTAAAGAACACCTACTTAAACCTAAACTGTCATTACAACGATCCAAATTTGCAGAACATCTAGTAAATTCCAATCACAATGTAAACAGTTGCCAAGATAATTTACAAATCTTGCACAAATGCAGTAAAGGTCCGCTCATGAACGTCTTAGAGAGTCTTGAAATTTATAAAGCTAATAAAAAATCCTCTCAAGACGTTTTGAATGAAAAACTAAACTATGGTTCAAATATTTTATTTGATAGAATTGAAAACATTGACATCAGAGATACTAGAAGTCTTTATCAGCTGACGTACCCCCTCCCCCAAGGTCAATGTCACCAACTGGACAATGGATAGTTCTGTCGTGTCCGCCTGCGTCGGTTTGTCCCGTATTCAATGTGGCCGGCCTATCGTAATTGTTTTTGTAACTATATTTATGTAAAATGTGTAAACTTTATGTGTCGTCAACCTGCATGTATACATTGATGAAGACTTACGTCGGATATTTGACCATATTCAATTGATGTTTTAATAAGGATTTGATAATGGGACTTTGTTCCCGAAACTAGTCATCCAGCATTGACTAAGTTAAGACTGAAGACGGAATAAGGTACGTAACCTATTATACTAGGTGGCGTTCGCAGAGGCATCCACAAAATTGAGCGGAGTCATCAAGGGTTCATATTATATTGTTTTTGTCTTACTGCAGTAAAAACAGTATTTTTTCATGCATGCGCTGCGGGTCTAAAGTAGCATTTTTGATATTTAGGGAGTAAAAATCGTTTTTAGCCTCTATGGAGTAAAAATCAGCTGTTGTCAACTCAGTTGTAAATTTCGATTGTAAACGATTGCATGTATCGAAAATATGTATCGATTTGTGCTTCGTAATCATTTTTAACATATTACAGTCTACAGTCTCTTCCCGTAACATTTTAGCATTGCAGATACATTAATCCATTCCCAAACTCAACACTGCTCACATTTACTACTTCCTTCACCACACCCTACGTCGTGGACCTGTTTCCCTCTCTTCCCATAGCATTTTAGGATTGCAGATACATTAATGTAATTGCCAAAGACAGTTCCCACACTCTGCGCTGTTAGCCTTACTACTTCCTTCACCATTTACTACGTCATTGGCCTGTTTCCTTCCTTTCTCATAGCATTTAAGTATTACAAATACACTTATCCATCTGCTCAAACGGTTCCCCCACTCTGCACTGCCAGCCTTTACTACTTCCTTCACCACTTACGTCGTGGACCTGTATTCATCGCTTTCCATAGCATTTTAGTATTTTAGATACGTTAATCTAATTGCAACAAACATCCCCACTGTCCGTACTGCTAGACTTTACTACTTCTTTCACAATTTCCTATGTCTTGGGCATGCTTCCATCCCTTCTCATAGCATTTCAGCATTGCAGATACATTAAAACTGCTACAAACGGTTTCCAGTTCCCACACTCCACACTGCTCACCTTACTACTTCTTTCACCTGTTCCTACGTCGCGGATCTGTTTCCCTCTCTTCCCATAGCATTTTAAGATTGCAGATACCTGAATCTAATCGTCATAAACAGATCCCACACTCCGAACAGCTCGCCTTTACTACTTCCTTCGCCACTTCCCACATCGCGGACCTGTTTTCCTCCCTTCCCATAGCATTTTAGGATTGCAGATACCCTTATCTTATCGTCATAAACAGTTCCCACACTCCGGACAGCTCGCTTTGACTACTTCCTTCACCACTTCCTACGTCACGGGCCTGTTTCCCTCCCTTTCCCATAGCATTTTTGATTGCCCATACCCTTATCTAATCGTCATAATAGTTCCAACACTCCGGACAGCTCGCCTTGACTACTTCCTTCACCACTTCCTACGTCGCGGACCTGTTTCCCTCCCTTCCCATTGCACTTAAAGATTGCAGATACCTTAATCTAATCGTCATAAACAGTTCCCGCACTCCGGACTACTCGCCTTGACTACTTCCTTCACCACTTCCTACGTCGCGGACCTGTTTTCCTCCCTTCCCATAGCATTTTAGGATTGCAGATACCCTAATCTAATCGTCATAAACAGTTTCCACACTCCAGACTGTTCACCTTTACTACTTCCTTGACCTCTTCATACGTCACGAACCTCAAGCTAGTGTCGTCATTTGATTATAGTACCTGGGGACCGAGCTTTGCTCGGGGAAAATCATTAGTTCACTCTGAAAGCACCGTAGTATTGGAGATACATAAATCCACACATCTACATCCTACACAATTTCCTACGTCATGGACCTGTTTCCCTCCATTCCATTGCATTTAAAGATTGCAGATACCTTAATCTAATCGTCATAAACAGTTCCCACACTCCGGACTACTCGCCTTGACTACTTCCTTCACCACTTCCTACGTCGCGGACCTGTTTCCCTCCCTTTCCCAAAGCATTTTAGGATTGCAAATACCTTTATCTAATCGTCATAAACAGTTCCCACACTCCGGACAGCTCGCCTTGACTACTTCCTTCATCACTTCCTACGTTGCGGACCTGTTTTCCTCCCTTCCCGTAGCATTTTAGGTTTGCTGATACCATAATCTAATTGTCATAAACATTTCCAACACTCCGGACAACTCGCCTAGACTACTTCCTTCACCACTTCCTACGTCGCGGACCTATTTTCCTCCCTTTCCATAGCATTTTAGAATTGCAAATACCTTAATCTAATCGTCATAAACAGTTCCCACACTCCGGACAGCTCACCTCGACTACTTCCTTCATCACTTCCTACGTCGCGGACCTGTTTTCCTCCCTTCCCGTAGCATTTTAGGTTTGCTGATACCTTAATCTAATTGTCATAAACATTTCCAACACTCCGGACAACTCACCTAGACTACTTCCTTCACCACTTCCTACGTCGCGGACCTTTTTTCCTCCCTTTCCATAGCATTTTAGGATTGCAAATACCTTAATCTAATCATCATAAACAGTTCCCACGCTCCAGACAGCTCGCCTTGACTACTTCCTTCACCACTTCTTACGTCACGGACCTGTTTCCCTCCCTTCCCATAGCATTTTAGGATTGCCCATACCCTTATCTAATCGCCATAAACAGTTCCCTCACTCCTGACAGCTCGCCTTGACTACTTCCTTCGCCACTTCTTACGTCGCGGACCTCTTTCCCTCCCTTCCCATAGCATTTTAGGATTGCCCATACCCTTATCTTATCGTCATAAACAGTTCCCACACTCCGGACAGCTCGCTTTGACTACTTCCTTCACCACTTCCTACGTCACGGGCCTGTTTCCCTCCCTTTCCCATAGCATTTTTGATTGCCCATACCCTTATCTAATCGTCATAATAGTTCCAACACTCCGGACAGCTCGCCTTGACTACTTCCTTCACCACTTCCTACGTCGCGGACCTATTTCCCTCCCTTCCCATTGCACTTAAAGATTGCAGATACCTTAATCTAATCGTCATAAACAGTTCCCGCACTCCGGACTACTCGCCTTGACTACTTCCTTCACCACTTCCTACGTCGCGGACCTGTTTTCCTCCCTTCCCATAGCATTTTAGGATTGCAGATACCCTAATCTTATCGTCATAAACAGTCCCCACACTCCGGACTGCTCGCATTTACTACTTCCTTCATATCACTTCCTACGTCACGGACCTGTTTCCCTCTATTCCCATAGCATTTTATGATTGCCTTTACTACTTCCTTCACTACTTCCTACGTCACGGTCCTGTTTCCTTCCCTTCCAATAGCATTTTAGGATTGCAGATACCTTAATGTATTCGTCATAAACAGATCCTAGACTTCACACTGCTACCCTTGACTACAATGTATCGAGTAATCTTAAGTATAATCTTTGCTCAATATTAACAAGTGATGTTTTTCCTTTTGTACTGTATTTGTAATTTCCTAGTATACTGTGGGTAGTTGGCTTATTATGAACACATGCTAAAACTTCAAATCTTTTGTTTACTTTTTACTTGTTATTTAATTCAGCCAACATGGTTACCTAGCAACCCATAAGACTAATGTTAAGAAAATGTGATTTTCAGTTTCATTTTTCTACGGATTCCTGAGAGACTTTTTTAACGCCATATAGATGTTGGCACTCACCGATATGGTCTTTATCACCATGCAAAATTTGAAAACGATTGATTCAGCCGTCTAGGAGGAGTTTGCGTATTACGAAATGCATAAAAGTCGACGTATAAGAGCTTCGCTCGCTTCGCTCGCTCCGCTCAATTATATACCTATGGACTTTGACCCATTGACATACCTATGGCCTTTGACCCATTGACGTACCTATAGCCTTTGACCCATTGACATACCTACACCCTTTGACCCATTGACGTACCTATGGTCTTTGACCCATTTACATACCTATGGCCTTTGAACTATTGACATACCTATAGCCTTTGACCCATTGACATACCTATAGCCTTTGACCCATTGACATACCTATGGACTTTGACCCATCAACATACCTATGGGCTTAGACCCATTGACATACCCATGGCCTTTGAACCATTGACATACCCACAGACTTAGACCCATTGAAATACCTATGGCGTTTGACCCATTGACATACCTACAGCCTTTGACCCATTGACTTACCTATGGCGTTTGACCCATTGACATACTTTTATTGCTCTAGCTGATTACATAGAGGAATGGATATTTTCTCCCATTTAGTGTGACTTACAAAAACAACTATAATTTCCTTATTCATTAATATTATGTCTCAAAGTATAATTGAAATTGAATGACAATTTTTAATGATCAGACAGACGCTACATTTTGACACAAAAATTGAAAAATTACCTCAAAACTCACTTGTTGTTTACTATTTTTCCCCCCTAAAGAGGTTAGGCAACCAAAGAAAAAAGAAACTAAAATACAGCAATAACAACCTATGCAGATGGACATAGATAAAAATATTGACGTGACAAGTGCTGCAATCCCTCGGAATGATTTCAAACTATAGAAGCAATGTCCTAGGAACGGAACAGTTCCGTCTAGGAATGACCGGGAGCACATTAGGAGCGGAACTTAAATGTTCCAACCTAGTATGCCACATTCAGACTCCCAAAACCACATTTATAAACTAGATTAAATTCTAACAAATCAACCGCCTAAAATCAACGTAAAATACAAGACTCCAAAACAATAAATGTGTAAATAAGTGTTTGGAAATAATGTAACAAAGATTAACCTAGTTAGGCTCAAATATAAGAAATCCCTGTCATATAAACATGGATTTGAGATAAAAACTGTTACATTTTGGTAGAGTAAATTTAAAATTAGAATTGTAATAAAATTGAAAATAAACTTGTTCAACTTACCTCGTCGGAATCCAAAATGGGTAAAGCACTGAAAAAAACATTTAATGATTAGAACTTTGGTTTTTAAATGTAGCCTAAAATTGTTTACACTAAATAATATAACTTTATGGATCCATTTAAATTTAAAAACCTAAAACTTGCTATAGCCTAGCTTAGACAATGAACCAAAATAACATTCTTGCCATTTTTTCAATATTTTTTGTTGGATAGTGAATGTAATTAAATTATTTCAAACAAAAAATCATGTTAAAGTTAAGTTTCTTTTATGATAAGTTATGTAAAATGTTTTAACTACGTTCCTTAAAATGGATTAGTAGGATATTTTAAATGTGAAATATTTTTTTGTGATATGATTTATTAAATGTATTAATACAAATAAATTTATACTTTTTGTTTAAAATAAATCCATATTGTTTGTGAAATAAAATAATACTGATGTTTGAAAATAATGTATGGCACAGGTATAGTATGTTTTATTAACAGTATGAGAAAGACAAGAACTGATTTTTCAGCCTCAAAAAAGTTTCAAAAGTAAATTTGTAATTGGTGTCCTTCTTACCTGTCTGCTAAGGACGTTGGGATGTTTTCCTCCACCCATTTCAAATCCTCCTCCTGTAAAACCACATTGAGTACTGTCAATTAAAAACCACAGCATATATCAATCTATTAGAGTATACCTATCATGACGCATGACTTGGTTCACTGAAGTTTTAAAATAGCCAAATATCTATGGAATAAAAGCCATTACAGAAAGTGTTTTTCTAAATTTAGTTTTGAGCAATTATTTTATACACAAATATTACGAAATACACTAGAAAAAACGTTTAAGTGTGTCAAATCAAACATAAACTTGGAAATCAAATCTATTTTTTGATCATCAGATTAAAAAAAAAAAATTAAAAAGTAAGAAGCTGTCAGTAATACAACTTTAAAGTCATTAAAGTGTGAAAATTTACCTTTTAACAACTCAATCCTAAATTAGTGTGGCTATAATAATATTTATTTGTGATTGTTAAATATGACATTTATTTTTTATACGTTCATTTTTGTAATTCCTTTGGCAATTAGCAAGAATAAATAAACAAAAATTAGGTTGGGAATTATGTAAGCTGACTGTAATTTGAAATTTGCTTAAACTAATTGTCAAAGAACACAGTTTTATTGTCAAGAGAAAAATTCCTAGAAACAAAAATTTTTGTCATTTTGGTTCATTGGTTTTCACTTACCGCTGAATTCATCGACAATTTCTGCTTTGGAGAACTCGTTCCTGAATTGAGGCCCCCTCTCATTTTGACCCCTGAAAAAGGCATTATCTTTGAATACAAATATGCTTGATCATTAAATAATTGTTACATATTGATCAACTATTAAAAAGTAGCACTGAGAAAGTTACACATCAACTTAACCAAAATACCAGTTTGAATGCACAAAAACATCCCTTTTAAACTACTGCCCTAGTACACGCTATTGCAATGTTTTAATTAAACTGAACCAACTAAATGACTTTGCTTAAAGAAAAAGGTTCCCACTTTGCTGGCTTAGACGTGAATGTCTTTATTTTTTCAGAATGCAGAAAACATTTTAATGCAGCAATCAGCAAGATGCTTTAACTTTTTTTCAATAAAGCTTTACGTACTTGCTAACTACAAGGTCTAAAATCTAGTTTAGTGGTGTAGAGTAATACATATGGTTTAGTGGTACAAGCATATTAAGTAGGTCTACTTGATTACATTATAACAAAATTGCATCAGTAGAAAACTATAAGACTAGGTCATAGTTAAATCATATCACTACGTCTAATAGATATCTAATAAACAAATAGATTAAAGAAAACAATAAGGTCTTGCATGTCACCACACTGATAAATAACAATCTTAAAGCACAAAACTTAAAATTGTGAGTAGATTAGTCACATTTCACTGGTATTTTATTTAAGTATCTCACCATAAGCATCACTGACAAAATATTCTTCTTCTTCATCGTCCCCGTCTTCTGGAGCGTCTAGGAGAGGCGTAAATGCATATCTACAACATTCGCCAATGTTTAGTAACCAGCTAAAAGTATTTATTTTATATTTAAAAGTGTTTATAAAAGTAATCTTGGGGAATATTTTATGTGATATAAAAGTAATTGGAAGCATAACATTTAACCAAAGAGAGTTTGTCTAAACTAACCGACCATGACAGGACCGAGACATGGTCATAACGCCCAAAAGTTTGGATATCAGGAGTCTTCTGTTATGACCATAACAAGTTTCCCAGAATCACAGGAAAATCTTAAACAAATCCTGCAGTCACAGAAAAATCATTCCGCAGTCGTTTGTCATCATCCTAGTCTTCAGCGATCACGGCATAATCCTAATGTATACTAGGCAATGTAAACATCATTACAGCGGCTGCCTAAATGTAATTATGACTATGCGCTGGGACTTCCTGCGACCACTGAAATTTTATGCTCGTCATTCGTAATGAATGCTGAAATTTTGGATTGTGCGATTTTCAAAGATAAGTCCTGCAATTGTGATTACATTGTGATTGTAAAATGAGAAGCTCAAGCTCAATTTTCTGACTAAGAATTCAAACTCTCAAGCTTGTAAGAGAGGCAAGGCAAGGCTCAGAAATCGAGCCGTTCGCACAATGTATAGCTTTTGGTACCTAAGAACGGAAGAACCGATATTCCGAGGTATGCCGAGGTCAGATAAAGGGTTCTACAATAGTTTACATTTATAAAAAATATCCTTCTAACTACACTAGATGAAATTGACAGGTTGATATAATGTTAACAAAACTAAACAAAACCTAACCTGCGTAACTAATACTGCATTTTACATTACTGGATCTAATGCTAAATATTTCAAAATTCATAAAGAATAAAAAATACAAAAATAAATAGATGTAAACGGACCCCCCCCCCCCCCCACAGGGACAAAAAGGAGACAAGGCACTGACCAGAACATTTTGGGCTGGTGATGGAAAGAAACACAATCAACTTCTATCACCTTCCTTAAAATTCTTACATTAAAAAATAACTGACACCTTAAAAAAGTCAAACTGGTATTTTGGTGACATACACCAAAAGTAGGTTGATGTTTTTTTGTCGCCATTGTTTTACAAGAATGAAGAAAAGGGTACTCACATGTATAAAATAATAGAATTTGAATTCAATCTAAATTCATACTTTCAGTAATTTTCAGACAATGTCATATTGTGTCTACCAAACTACTTCAATTGACATATTTGTAAAGATAAATATTGCTTATTGATATGAAATCTATTACTTTTCTACAAAGTTGTAAAGGATGCAGAGTACAGAAACCCTGAGGCAATATCTATCAGTAAAACCTGACCTATCACCAAAACATGATGACTTGTTTTGTGTTAAGAGTTTTTAAGCACCATTCATTACGATAACATAGCATTTTATATAGGCTAATACGTTTAGCAAAGTGATTTATAAATATTAGCAGCCATTCACACCATACACATCGTCCCTTTACATAATAATAATAAATAACTGACATTTGTAAAACGAGTCTGTATTTAGCTCCGGACTTAAATCTTACATAGAAGACTACCGCAAAGGCTACTTTCCATGAACAAAATTGCTACAAATGCTTCACATTGGCATTCTAAATCATAAGTTTGTAGTTTAAAATCATGACATTAAATTTTCATGTTTTCGTTAAGTTCTCAAACTATAATATTTTTTTAACTCATTAGCAAAACAGTCTTATATAAATGTGTTTTAGATTAACAATAAATGTATACTATTACCTTTGATTGTTGTTGGTCGGCCTCCACAGAATCATGATGACTAGAAGAATCACAGAGAACAGAAGTTTCCAATACGCATCATCAATCCAAAGCTCTTTCCAAGCCTAGAAAAGAGTCAAATCTAATTTTTACATATTATTTTTAATATTTTACTAATGTTATTTGAATATTTATTTTTTTCTTTCATCAAAACCAAAGCTAAGTTATTTTAGGACGTGTTTAACAAGGGAACGGTTTCTTTTTGGAGCAGAGTCACATTTATCCAGCCCATGGTTTATAAGGCCCTACCTACTGGTAAAATATTGAGTACTGTAAGATTGCATGTTTTTTCTTTGTGACAATTGTACACCCTACCGAGTGCATCGAGACAACCCCTTTTCATTCAGAACATACAAAGTCTTCAGGTATCTGCAATTGACTGTAGTTCCTTTTTGTTTCAACAGACAGTGATTTGGATCTTTCTCAGAAGAGGGCCGCCACTATTTAAAGTTTTCCTACACAATTAAATTGTGTTCAAATGAGTTTCTGGTATTGAGAGAGTCATAGATAAATGAAAACTATCTGCATTGTACATATTGAAAGTCAGGTTCAGTCGTCGGGCGTTATTTTAACAATCTTATCCCGTGTTGCCGCTACGTCCTGCAGTAGCCGGAACTCTGCATCATTAGCCTGTTTTATATCAGACATTCAGGTGACGTTACGTTTGTCAGTTTTTGTACGTTATGTTGGTTTTTGTGATTTTTGAGTTTTGTGATTATTTTTGTTCAGTAAATTAAAACACTAGTGAGTAAAGCTATAAACTAACCTCACATCCTTAACTGTGGTTTTTTGTTTTTTCCTCTTCTGAAAAAGTTATTTGTATAATGTAATGTTAAGGTTTATAATGGTTTGTTTGTATTAATTGTGTTCTGTGTTATTTGGTCTTTCAACAGGTTTAGATTGGATAGTCTAGACTCGACTATATGTACAAATAGTTTGTCAGAACTTAAACTATTCTATGTGTTTTAGACACATAGAATAGTTTAGTAATACAGTAAATATTTACGATAATACAATAAATATTTCTTATGTGTGAACTTACTGTAAAACAGTTTACGAGGTAATGAGCCTTGATAGAGTACAGCATAAAGACTACTGATGAAATTACTGCGAAGATCAGAGTGTTAGTGAAGTGCCTGTACAGGTTGAGTTTCACCATGTTCCTGAAAATGAAAAAAACAATTAGATTACCAACTATAGCTTATCCTACCAATAGGTGGGGGCAGTGAATCTGTACTCGTAACCAAGTATTTGAGGTTAAGTGGGAAATTAGAAATTAATTGAATTTCAATTAAAGCAATGTGTAAAAAAAGTTTTCCAATAGGGGTGTGTAATACGTAAATTTCTGTCTTAATAGAAACTAGCTGATATTATTCAGTAACAACGCTAAAATCTCTTCCATTCAACACTTATCTTTGCCTTGAACTCTAATGTCAGCTCACCTCCGCAGCCTCAATGTTCTCGTCGTCTGCACCAGACTGGTGAAGATCCACCAACAGATGGCAGAGTCCAGCACGGCCAAGGGCACGCTGGCCATCAACATCTGATTGGCCGGGTCACTCTTGGGCCGCATCACGCGCAGGTAGGCCTCCGACGCAGCCAGTAGGAAATACAAGATGCCTGTGGCCACTGTGCGGTGCAGCATGGGTCCTAGCCGGGGCCTGGACACACCAATGAGCAAATGGTGTATTTGACTTTTCAAAATTGTCATGCATACCTACTGCTGTTAGCCTAGTTGATTATTATTTATTACACAATACACTTAATTTGAGTGAAAAAAATTCTAATACATCATTTTGGAGAAAATTTTTGTTTTAAATAGTTTGGGCTAATCTGTTCTCACCACAGTATACATCTGAGTTATAACTTTGCAGATTAAGCTTCAAAAAAATTATTTAAAAAAATCTAGTGATAGTGGTTTAAATATCTTATTTTTGAAATCCTATTGTTGTCTTCACAACTAGTTTCGACCTGCTAGGAGGTCATCATCAGGTGTGTACAAGGATGATATTACTTCATATGAAGGTCGTCAGTAACAGTTTTTTACATTTAAACAAACACACGACGAATAAACACATAGTGCGCACACATATACAGCTGATAAAATATAACAACGAACTTGACAAGCGGGCCCGTGTTGAAAATGCGGAAGTTGCGTATAGACTCGTCTAGAACTTGTTATATTTTATCGGCCGTATATGTGTGCGCACTATGTGTTTATTCGTCGTGTGTTTGTTTAAATGTAAAAAAACTGTTACTGACGACCTTCATATGAAGTAATATCATCCTTGTACACCTGATGATGACCTCCTATCAGGTCGAAACTAGTTGAGAAGACAACAATAGGATTGCAAGAATAAGGTATTTAAACCACTATCACTAGTTATTATTCGCAATCTGGAGGCTACTCACACCACAATCAAAAAAATCTCATTTTACTCTGAGACATGTTTGTTAATCACAAGGGTTGTCTGTGAATCAAGGTTTCCATCTATTTCCAATTACAGCACAAATCTGAAACCAACGTCACGTTCTTAACTTCATCCACTTCTATTCTGCCTGGTTCCCACCTCTATGACAAAATAATAAGTCTCACCATTGGGAAAATGTGTCACCATTGAAGTACTTAAAATGGTTTATCATGCGTATGTAGAATCCATCTTGAGGTATGGTGTGATTTTGTGGGGACAGGCAACTGATGCAAAAACTATTTTCAGACTTCAGAAAAGAATCATCCGAATTACGACTAATTCCCACCCCAGAAGTCCTTGTAAATTACATTTTCAAAATTTTAAAATCCAAACACTCACAGGACTATTTCATTTCATTTCAATATCTTTATTCAACAATTGTACATTGTACATTGAATAGTGTCAGATTCCTAACCTAGTAAATAAAGTTATAAGCTAAAATTACAACTTATATAATACTAAGAAACTAAAAATAAAATCAGGTTAATTGGGGAAACACCTCTTTAATGGAGTAGGGAGCGATTTCTATGAGATAATTTTTTAATTTGTTTTTAAATTTGATTGAGTTGCCAATGGGTTTTAAATGATTTGGAAGAAACCGTAAAAATCTTCTTCCGGCACAGGTGGGCTTTTTATTTGAAAATAAAAGATGGTTGCGACTATTTTCTCTTAGGGCTTTTCCTCTTGTATTGTAGCATAATTGTGCGTTATCTGATATACTTTCTTTCGCTATGAGAGCAGTTTCAAAAATGTATTGGGCAAAAACAGTTAATATTTTAAAATTTTTGAAATGAATTTTAACACATTCATCATTTTTTAGTCCCATCATTGTTCTTAATGCCCTTTGCTGTAATTTTAAGATTCGATTAAGATTTTTCTTAGTTGTAGCTCCATATAAAGATATACCGTATGAAATGTGGCTATGGACAAGAGAATGATATATTGTTTTTAAAGTATTGATATTACATAGATATGACATCTTTTTCAAAGCAAATATCCCTGAATTTATCTTTGAGCAAACATGATTGACGTGGTCCTGCCAGGATAGATGTTTATCAACTTTTAAACCTAAAAAATTTATTTTTTCAACTTGTTTGATTTCATCGGAATCCAAAATAATCAACGGTTCTATTTTGTTTTTACATTGCTTAGTTGAAAATGATATAAAATTAGTTTTACTTTTGTTTATTTTGAGATTGTTGGATAGTAAGTAATTTTTAATATTTGCAAGTTCTATAAAGGTATCTATTTCGATATGTTCTACTGTTTTTCCTGTAATTTTTAAGTTAATGTCATCAGCATATAAACACATATTTCCACAAGGTACACACGACAGAACATTTGGAATCTTATCAATGTAGCAAAGGAATAAAACAGGGCCTAGTATTGAACCCTGAGGGACACCAAAGTGATTAAGTTTTATTTCTGATCTGTTTTTTACCAGCCAATTATTTTTATTAGACATGATTTCAACGTATTGCTTTCTTTCCGATAAATATGATTTGAACCACGCCAAAATGTGACCTCTTACTCCCATATCTTCTAGTTTGAGTATTAGAGTTTGGTGACATACCCTATCAAAAGCCTTCGTAAGGTCCATTGATATTCCTATAACATTTTCGTGGCTATCAATTGAATTTATTATACTCTCAAAAAAACTTGAAGCAGCTGTAATTGTTGATCTGCCTGAGCGAAAACCATGTTGGCCACTAAATAGAAGGTTGTTATTTTCTAGAAAAGACACTAGCCTAATTTTCATTGCCTTTTCAAATAATTTTGAAATAACTGGCAAAAGTGATATTGGTCGATAGTTTTCTACGCACTGAGGGTCCCCCTTTTTGAAAATAGGCACAACCTTAGCAACTTTTAATAATTTTGGAAAATGACCGGATATAAAAGATGAATTAATTAAATGAGTAAAAATTGGAACTAGTTCTTGTTTTGTATATTTTATTACTTTAACGGGAATTTCGTCGTGCCCACGTGAAGGTTTGTTACTTAAAGAGTTTATCAGTTTTTCTACTTCCTCACATGAAACAGGTTCACATCGAAATAATGTTTTAGATTTGACACAATTTGTTAGTACTGGCTGGTGATTATCCAACAACTTATTACAGTTTACAGAACCATTCTTTCCAGATAAACTTACAAAGTAGTCATTTAGTACATTAGATATTGCCCTGGGATCTGCAATAGTTGTTCCTTTGTACACAATGGTCATGTCATTTACTAAGTTATTTTCTTTGTTACCTACTTCTTTATTTATAATTTTCCAGGTTGTTTTCATAACATTATCCGAGTTATTTATTTTTTTATCGTAGTGTAATCTTTTAGTTTTGTTTGCCGATTTTTTAAAAGTCTTCATTTTTGTTTTACAGAGGTTAGACAAGTTTTCGTCTTTTAATAATCTAGCTAATTTTGATGATTCCACGATTTCGTTGAATTCCTCCTTTAATGAATAAGTATACCACTCTTTACTGTTAGTTTGTTTCTTTATTACTTGTTTTGGAAATGCTGTGATAAAATGTGATTTGAAAATTTTATAAAATGTTTCGTATTTTTGTTCACAGTTTGCATTAAAAACTTCAAACCAGGACTCGTTTTGTAATGATATTTTGAAATTAATTAGATTTTCATCAGATAGGTTATAGTCTAAATACTTCAGTGACTCGTTTTTCCATGTTTTTTTGGTTAATTTATCAAGGGTCAAAATTTGAGCATCATGATCAGATAGATATGTAACCAGTCCCTCTATTTTTAGATTAGATTTGGGAATATTTGTCAAAAAGTTGTCTATTGCAGATTCCGAGGGCCCTACTACCCTTGTGGGAAAATCAACCAGATATTGCATTCCATGTCTAACTAGAACAGAGTTTAGATCCGTGGCATTCCTATCATTTCCTAATGTGTTAATATTTATGTCACCAGCCACTATAACATATTTATTCCTAGCTAGTACAATATCTAATAGCTTACTTAGCCTGTCTAAAAAAATTGGAACTTTAGAAATTGGTGATCTGTAAACTGCAACCAACAAGAATGATTCAGTATCGGATTTAAAACAAACCATGCTGCTCTCAAACTGTTTGTCTTCATGTAAGGATAACACTTCAGGAATAACAACTGGACTCCACTTCACAGCTCCACGCGCATGTATACATATTTGAATTATTAAATTACATACATAATATAAAAAATAACCTCCCGGATTCATTCAAATTCACACACAGCTATAGTACCAGAAACGAAACAATTTTCAGATTACCAAATCACCGTTTCACCTTATTTGAAAAAAGTCCTTTGTACGCAGGTTAAAAAATGTATAATAAACTACCGGTATATTATAAAATAATGAGTTCAAACAAGTTTCAAGAAACGTTGAAAAATGGACTCCTTGAGCATGCGTTTTATAAAATAGAAGAATTTTATAACCATCCTTGAGTTAATTTTTTGTTTTTAATTTTCTTAACTACTGTATTAACTATTAACATTATTTGGCTAGGTATTTTTTTCCTGTTACTTTGTACTTTGTATTTGTCTAGTCTAGGCTCAATTTTGACAATGCACCTGTTCTATATGTTATCACATCTAAAAGAATATTATGTGCAAATGAATAAATAATGTCTAATGTCTCTCTCATCGTGGTACTCAAAAATGTTGTGAAAGAAAATTTACGCTCCTGCGAAATATAAAACATGTTTTGTCGTTAGATTTCTCGGGTATCAGTCGTCAAACCTCACTGTCCATCACCAGTTGGCAAACATGAGTTGAATTAAGTGTTTGGTTTGGACAGAGAAAATATGTGCAAGATGTGGAGGAGGTCTTATATATTTGCACCATGTTTTCCAATAGGTAGGTCAACTGATGTATTTCATCATTCTAGTTTGAAGCATTGAACAAGTTTAGGGGAATTTTCAGGTGGTTCACAAAACATGACTAAGTGACAAAGGTCTTCAAAAAATAGGGAACATCTCTATGAGACTATCAAGGGCTGTGGTCAGCCAGTCAGGACTGTGGAAGACTAAAACAAGCCAGTCAGTAAGAAAATTTTCTCCAATTGAATTCAATCAAAGGCCCAATGGAAACACATTAACACCAACTGCCAGCCCTGTTGTTCCTGAGCTTTCTGACATCTCCCTTAGTCACTTTTTTGGAACGATTTTCTACATACAAGTCTAGTAATCGATAGGGATTGTGACCTCCTTCCTACAGAAACATAATAAACAAACATTTTGGTACTTGGGGGATGCTTCAATTTTGAATTTTCTTTCACACGATTTTGAATACTTTTATAAGACTCATCCTATATGGATCTACCATCTAGAACCATCTAGAAAAGTAGCAAATAAAGTTAGGAACTCAGATTTAAACTTGCTTGGCTGCGACAGAAGTAAGATGAAGAGCTTAATTTACGACAGTCCTTGTATTTAGTGTTAAAGAATTATTGTAACTTACTTGACAATGCCAAAGCCGAGACTGACAATGATGACCAACATCCTGGCCAGTGTTCTCTTGCCACAGCTGACAAACTCTGCCAACAACACGGCCGTCTGTGCTGACTGCCCCGTGGTGTTGATACTTTGGTACTGCAATCAACAATTACATCACCATTATGGGATAGCGACACTACTTAGGTGTATTTCAACTAGAGTCGATCCCAACCATGTTGGAAATTTTTTCTTCCATTATGTCTTGTAATTTCTTTGCAAAAGTTACTTAATTCTTTAGCCATGTGAACAAATAAGTTAATCTCAAAACTTGTCTGTCTATCACAATCATAGCATAGTGGATATTATTTTTTACATTAATTGATCGATCGATTGACTTTTCTCATTAACTTCTGATGGTTTATATTTGTTTAGTTTGGAAGAATCTGGTCCCGAGGTGTTCTTAAGAGAAAGATTATTGTTTTTTATTCTCTCTAATGTTTAGTTTACCTCAGCGTAGAACATTGCCTTCTCCAACATGCCTAGAAGTATGACGCCTCCGATCCAGAACTGAATACGCAGCAGATCTCGCCACTGTAGAAACGAGACTATCAACCAGGCAAGACCTAGCACCACATACACCAGGCACATGGCCCCGTAAAACTGAAACACCACAATTCTTATTTAAAATATGTAAATAGGAAACAAATTTAATGTTTTTTTTTTGTTTTTTTTTTATTTTGTAAATGGCCTATTTAAAGTTTAGTGGCTAACATTCTGGACTTCGGTATGACAGTGATAGGTTCAGGTTTGATCACTCAAACTTCAGAAGTCCAAACGTTTTAAGCGTTTAAGCTGCTTTCCCTTAAGTGTTCTGGGATTCTTTCTAACTGAAAATTGCGGTAAGGACACAAATTACTAACAAAAATATTGCAAAATAAGTTGCATAATGAGTCTGTTAAAAATGTTAACATCCTCATAAAAAACCAAACTTAAATTAAATGTGAGTTTATCTCTACTCTTTTTATACACCACACATAATAAAAAAAATCTAAAACAAAATATTATTTACAAGTTAAAAGTATATACTGTAGATTTAAAAAAAGTCCATGCTTATATGATCAAGTCAACATGGACTGGTACCTGAATATATGCCTGGTTTTTATCAGTTCAAATTAAAATATGGCATATATGGATCATTGAAAACCCAAATCCTCTAATACGGTTTGAGAGAACCGTCAGCGACAAGAGCCAGGGCAGAAAGGCGGACTACAGTTCAGGTTCAACCCATCATAAATCATAAATTTCAAACACAGGTTACATTCAATATTTTCTTTATAAACATTAAGGAAAAGGTGGAAATCCAACCAACTTATTTAGGAGAAGAATGTGAGTAAAGGATTATGTTAATATAAAAAGATCAAATGCTTACTGGTAGCAGTGGCCAGTCTGCGGCAGAGAGGTAGCCTTGTTTACCCTTCATCTCAATGTGAACATCGGCTGAAAACGGAGAGTTGCTGGTCAGCTGTAGAGACAACATGTAGAAACCATCTTTGGTAACTTTCATTACTGGTCTTGAGGACGGCTTCTGTGGAACAATAACATGAGTGATGAACTCTTGGATAAAGGATTCAGCCTTTTAACCATTACCAAATAAAAAGTAATCATAAAAACTAAATGGGTTTGCCAAATGAATAGGATATTTTTTGGTAACTGTCACTGGCAAGGTTTTGAATGTGGCGTATTAGTAAGTGTCTACTGTACTTACTAAACTTACTAACTTATTTTGTAAGTCTGCAATGTTGATGACTTTGATAACCTTAACGACATGGTGAATCTGTATTTCATCTAACGTAGAACTGTTATAACAGCATTTTTTCAGGTTATGGAAGAGTTACTGACGAAGGACTATCTTGTGATATGAGGCTGTTTGGCTCAGCTGTGTTGAATTCTTTGACTACTACAGTGGTTGAAATGTTCAGTGTCTAAAGTCCGTTCACAAAATTTAGGCGGTTTAAGGGAAAGTTTTCCTGGGTTTCCCCCCCCTTTTTTAGCTTAATGTAACATGTAACAGCTGTTGACTGTTGTTTTAAAGTTAGGGTGAGGTGTAGAGGATGAAATTGCTTCCCCTCAAACCACCCAACTTAAATTTTGTGAACATTGTACACGTAAGTCACTCAAAAACTTTTCTCCATTTTAAATCCAAAGGCTGATATTTGACGATTTCAAATAACCTAGCTTCCATCTTCTGCTTCAAAATTTCATCATTCTAATGCAATTTTAGGTCTAACTCAACAACGTACTTTACTACCTACATGACTGTCCTTGTTGACGAATAGGCCTAGTTAAATCAGTAAATGTTATTCATATTCACTTTCATACAGGCTGTCAATGACGACTGTGTCATTGAATTGCCGAAATTCCCAAGTGCTAGAAATGAAAGACACAAGAACAGATAGCTTTTTGAAGACTAACTACACATTATCACATGATAAACAACCTTGCCGGGGAAAGGGTTTTTTGTAATTATAGTCAACAAACCGTGTGAATCTGCTTTAACACTTGTCTCTGCTCGTGCAGCTCCGGACTTTGGCTTTGATGATCCTGAAGTTTGTTTTCCTGCTGCGATGATTTCACCTGTGAACTTTCTTGTTCAATTTGTCTCCTAAGTCTGGAGCCTTGATCCTTAGGATCCACAGGCATACCATGCACACCTGCTGCTTCCGATTGTATATCCGTGTAAGCATCCTCAGCAATTGTCAGTTCTTTCTAAAAACCAAAAAATTACACTAAATTAGATTAGAAGATTCAAACAAGACTGACACACGAGGGTGTGTATTTTAAGAAGATGAGTAAAGGATGTGTTGAATGAGTTAACTTTGTTAATGACTGAGATCAGCTGGTTTTTAGCAGGCACCATTTTAATACACCGTTCACAAAAATTAGGCGGTTTAGGGGAAGTTCTCCCACCAATTTTTTGCGGTATGTTGCAGCTGGTTGACAGGTTAAGGGGAGATGCCCAGTTTTTCGGTCAAAAAATTAATTTTTTGTTTATTGCATTGAAAAATTCTTTATCTTTTCCTGATTCAGAAAATATATAATTTTAATATATTTACTACAGTCTAACAATCATAAAAAATAATATAAATAGTACTACACACTCGGTTTTAGTCACAATGGGCTGAATTAGCGTCAATTAAATTTATGTTAGAAATTTAATTTTGTTGAATGGTTGCACTGAATTAATGTTGTTGCTAGGTTAAATAGTCAACAAAAATCTTTTTCTGTTTGTTTTTCTTTCTTCATAACATATGTGTATATAATAATAGTGCTGTTTGTGATGAGGAATAATGTGGCATAGGGTAGGCCTAGGCTTGACTTTAAATGAGTTTTTCCGAAACTGTGTTTTTTAATGTTTAGGTACCATTTTCCAGACTACTATAAGTACCACTGACTTCAAATTTTTTTCTGTTACTTAGGACATCATGGCCCACAAAGTGTACTAAAAGTTTGCTTCTATGTTTAAAAAAACATTAACTATAAAATTAATTAATATTTGTAAAATAGTGAAAAAAATTATATATTTTAAAAATCTTGATAAAATATGATTTTTTTGGTAGAACATATTTAAATTAGTACAGTTTGTCTTAAATGTCAATACAAATAAGTAGTTAAAATTTGATATGCATAGCTAAAAGGGTTCTTTCTTAAATGGTACCTAAGCAACACGATGTTTACTCATATAAAATGCATTAAATCTAAAAAGTGGGCATCTCCCCTTAAATCAATATTTGTTTTATAACAGCTGTTGAGCTATTGTTTTCAAGGTAGGGTCAAGTGGATGGGATAGATTTCTTCTCCTAAAACCGCCTAAGTTTTGTGAATGGAGTATAATCATCGATAAAACATACTTCCTTAGTAGATTTGCCATCCTTATGGAACAGCGGAACAGCTGAAGCCAATTTTATTGTTAGTTCTATACGTCCAACTGTAGAGGTCGTGTTAAGTTTTCAATTTGTTTCTCGTTATTTCAGTCATTAAAAACCTCATTTAACCAAATAAAACGATATAATCATAAACAATAACTGGTCTCCTAGTTATATAACCAAATAGTAAAGCACAAATCATGAAAACAACCCTAAAATAATAGAAACTAAATTTCGTCTAACCCAGAGATCAGTGTGGACGTAGGCCTACATGAACTAGACACGAAAAACAAGCTTCAAAATTTACAAGAGATGAGGAGTCTACTTGTGTTGCTTAGTCTATGGTATAATACACCACACCAACTGTGAATAAATCAATTTATATTTAGTATCGCTAAGAGAATATTTCGAGTCGCAGTTTTCAACCAACCACCAATTTGTTCCACAGCTATGATAAGCAGACCATAAAATTAACCTTTTTAAATCACATTGCTAAGGAAAGGAGATAACATACGCCTTGGTGTGACATCAGTTAAAATTACAATTTTACAAAATTAATTTTCTATTTCGTTAGTAATAGGCTATGGTTTTGTTGTCAATAAATAAACCCAAGATTGTAATATTTTGATAATTTTACATTGCTTCTTGTATGTAGGAAAATCAGAAGCACTGTCCCTACTTCAGACAAAACTTTGGGACACTACAGAAAAAGAAAAACAGAAGTGAAACTACAACAAAAGACACCATGTAAAAGAGCTACGAGTTTTGATGGTGGGGGAAAAAGTTTGGGTGTCTAACCTGAAGCGATATGGACTAGCGGTTGGAACAAATTCTAACACTAGAGATTATATGGTCAAAATCGATGGGAAATTGTATAGAAATAGTCTTTTTAGTTCCTACCAACAATAGATTCTAAACACGTGAACAGAGAAAATAAATGGGAAAAAATTAGAGAAGGGAAGGTGTAGTGACAGCTGTTAATTTTATCTTATTTGCTAACACATGCTATGATTATTGTTTGTTGTTTATATGTTTCTGTTTGTACCTACTTACTTAAATAATAGATGTTGTACATTTTTCCTTGTGAAATATTATTTGGCACCGCTACATTAGGTTGTTAGGTCTCATCTTGAGCTCAGTTTTAAGAAATGTCAAAACATTAATAAAGGATAAGAAATGTTAAAACTTTAATAAAGAAACTAAAATGTAAAAATTATTCTTAGACTATCAGGACTACAAAATATTACCAGCTGTATATTGTGATCACAGTCGTGTTCTTCTGGGGGAGATTTGACTGTGTAGAACGAAGCATTGTCTAAAGCTCTTTGTAGATCATTGGGTGGGACACTCCTGCTAAGCTGAAACCGAAAAAAAACATGATTAAGAGGCTCACTATTTAATGTTAAAAAGTATAACAGTCTTATTACACATTTTTGCGTCTTACACATTTTTAGCGTTTTACAAATTGTTTGAGACATATTTATAATGTGCTACAACGTATGCGTTTTTCACTCTGATGTGATGTTGTAGATGATATTCTTGGCAAGGGCGAGATAAGATGGTGAAAAGGTTTCTAAATTTAGGAGTTGGAGCAACACGTTTTTGGAAACTTGAAATTATTTAGTCATTTGAATGTTTTCGCCTACTTGTGAATTAGGCATACTTTTTGAATTCCAAAAACTTGGCCTTTGTTCGGCCTTACCCAAGCACCAAAGCAAATCAAAATGATTCTATTATTTGACAAAACCAATAGCACTGTATTAAAAAATTTTCTTATACAACTATAAACTATTTTATCTCAAAGAACTTGTAGTAACTTATAAAATTGATTTTGGGTCATAACCAGGTTATTATCATAATAAAAATACTTACTGCCTCATTAATATGAAGGTAGTCTCTCCAACAGGCTACTTCTCCCAAAGACCAACTAACTGTCAACTTAGACTGGTCGTCCTTGGAGTCACATGTTACTGAAACAAACATTTTAAGGTTAAAATGCCAAAATACACGTTTGAAAAACACACGATTAATTTATTTGAAAAATACTCGTATACCCTACCTTGAACCATGTAATCCTAATAAGATCTTGCTATAGGCCTAGGTAGGGCCTACTTGCTATGTATTGCTATGTATTTGCTGCACTGTCAAAACAATTTTAACAACCGTTTTAAATTTATGAACAGAATGAATATGCCATATCGAAGAACAATGAAGTGAACTTGGTAGATTTCACTTTTCATTTTGTGAGGTATTTACAAGTACAAGGGGTGTTGGTAATTTGATTTTAGCACTTAGCCTACAGACATAAAAATGTTGTATCCATATCAATTCTGCTACCTGTCTCTTGAGCAAGTTTGCAACCACATCTTTAGGTTCTTCGTCATCAGAATACCGCTGAAGCCCAGCCACCTCTATATATTCTGGGCTGAAGGGCAGATGTTGGAATATAAGTCCTAATTTAGATTTACCAGAAAGGCTTCTGTTAAGATATCTAAGAAGTGTGAGGCATTGATGTGGGTAATTGGACTAGGTAGAGGTAAAATTGCTGTCTGATGATTTGATTTCAATTCATATAAAAAAGTGTAACCAGGGTCTACCCGTAAAAATTATAAAATAGTCATTTCAGTAATCAACTTACTTTGGATACGAATTTCTGATTCTTTAAAAAGGCTCTTAACCACTGCAACTTGGTCATTTTGCTGAAACAAGAAAAAATACATTTATGATCAAGTCAAATTAAAGGCAGTCAATCAAACTTATTAATGATACTACCTATTTTAGCCTATTTTTACCTATTTTAGCAGTACCTATTTTTTATAGAAACCTGAAGATGTTGCTTATGAGACACTATGACACCGAGGTGAATGCAAATAAACTGATAATTGGGTTCTATAGTAATGCTTGCGATAATTTACCACGTTTGCATTACTGCCTCCACAATAAGAAGTTATGGAAATCAATAGAGGGTATTGGCAAAATTTAGTATTTAGCCAAGAGATTTCTAAACTTAATTAATTAGGTTAGGTTTTTAAATCAATATCTAATTAAGTTTACAAAATCCAAATACTGCTACCGGTACCAACTTACTAGCTTATAGTAGGCCTATTATATTTTAGGTAGGTACCTACTTAGCCTATTTAATATTTTAAAATTGAAAATATCCAAGAATGCACAACTCTTCTTTATTACAGACTCACAGACAATAAGTTTAATAGATGGTAAAAGTTAGGTGAAATGATAAGCCAAGCAATACCGTAGCTAACTAACTTAGTTTGGTGTGATCTTGAGGGGGTGAGTGTTGGTGGGCCATCTTCAAAATAGAAAGTAGGTACGAATAAAATAGGTTACCAGTACCAAAGGCTAACCAAAACTTTAAATTCTTTTCCTGTTGCAGGTATAACATTTTTTAACACTTTGCCTCTTCAAGTCAGAAGAAAACCTGCTAAAGCGTTTGCAAAGAGTGTAAAGGGTTGGTTGGCTGCAAGCTCATATTCCTTGCAGGAGTTTTTCATCACAAATCGTTACTCAATGAAGTAAAAAGATAATAAAAATTTGAAAATAGATGAATTAAATTTAACCCTGTTTTAGTATTAGTGACTTGGCCCACCGTATTGTAAATAATAGCCTACTGAACGGCGTAATAAATCTTGAATCTTGAATCTAGCACAATCTGCAATCTGAACCGGCAGCATGAACGAAGAGACCCTAGGGACACTTGCCAACACTCATTTATAAGGCTAAGTCTCCTACCTACAACCGTCGCAGCCAAAATTGACACGGGGGAGATCAGTTTGAGAAAAAGGTGAGAGCGTGGGGAAAAAATAGGCATAACTTAGTATCCCAAAATCGTGTAGGTAGCCTATACGTTGGAGAGCTTTTGAGGGAGACCAACAACTCCATATAAATAGGGATTAGTTCAGAATAAGGGTACGTTTAGGCAGCCTACAGTTTCTTAACTGGGCTAAGTTAATTTATGCTAATATCGATTTAAACTATCGATTCGATTAAACTTACTTAGTAAACCTTCATAAGATTGTTTCATTACCTAGGCCTGTCAGCAAGTTTGGTTAGTTAGGTTAGGTTATGACAAGTTTCATTTTATAATAGATTAACCCTCCAAGTGTCCATAGTTTAGGCCTTAATGTCCACCTATTTTTGGCGCATTTGCAAGGTTTTATTAAAACGGATCTGAGAAGCTTAAAACAATGTTAATTCTAATGTTCTATATACCATTTTGTTTGGAAAATCATGGGCTTCAATATTATATATAAAACATAAGGAACATTTAAAAAAAAAAAAAAAAATTTCGCAGAGGATACGCGTCCGGTAACCGGACGTGGATTAGGCGTCCAGCAGTTACTGTCATAACCTAACCTAACCAACCAAACTTGCTGATAGTGAAAAAATCAAATGAAGGTTCAATTCTCTTCATGACATAAAATTATAAATGCCAAAAATTCTAACAAAAGATGTACAGTTAAGAAGAAATTACATTCAAAGCAAAATCTGTGACAAAAAGTTAGAGACACCGATGGGTTTCGAACCAGGGACCTATTGGATATCAGCCGAGCACTCTACCCACTACACCACGAACAACGCTGGCCGATCATCGTATCGTTGTGGTAATGGCGTTCCGGGACCCCACAACCCGGTGACGTCACTACCGGACGCCTAATCCACGTCTGGTTACCGGACGCGTATCCTCTGTGAAAATCTTTAGGTAAAAAAAATATAATTTCGAAAATTTTCAAAAAAAAAATAAGTTCGCGCTCAATGAAATTGTATAAATTATAGGCCTATAAATATTTGAAAATAGCCACTTTGTTCTAAATTTTATGAGGATTACAAATATATAATAATATAAGGAAGTAGATTTGCAAATAAATAAGTTATAGGCAAAAAACAAATTTCAGTACATAGCGTTTAGCTAAGAATGCATAGCCTAACCATAGCTAGGAATCTGGCTGATAATTTACATCAATATCACTACCTACTTCTTCAGGATCATCAACCAGCACTTCAAAACCACTTAAATCTTCTTATAATGCTACACGTATATCACTACTTTTGATTTTTAACACTAAAACAATGATAAACGTAATAAAACACATCAGTCATCGGTCCGAGGGTAACCTAGCTGTTTACAAATACACGCACGTCAGCTGTCTGCTACAATTACGATCGGCTCAGAGAACGTACAGCGCTGAGACAGACCTCTGGAGAAAGCTTAGAATATTACGGAAAGAACGATATAATTCCACCACCTAACTCGATCCAGTTCAATCCGATTCAGTCAGTCATAGAGCCTTTGCCGTAAACGATGTCTGCGTGTCGAAAAATCGACAAGTAACACTACACAAAGTGTGCTGCTTGTCGAATTTTCGTCAAGTAACACTGGGAGGGTTAACTTATTTAAAAATATTGATTAGACTATTAATCAATATTTTCAATTGGATGGATTCAATCGATATTAGAATAGCCGAGTTAAGACACTGTAGGCCTACCACAAAATAAGTCAAAAGACAAATCGTGCAGCATAAGCATAACTTAAGTTAGGCCTACCGTTGTACTTTAGAGATTTGCATTTAAATTCAACAAGGCCCAACATAGGTACCGGTAGCCCATACATTCCCATCCCCGGGGTTATTGATAACACAGAGGATAAGCGTCCGGTAACCAGACGTGGATTAGGCGTCCGGTAGTGACATCACCGGGTTGTGGGGTCCCGGAACGCCATTACCACAACGATACGATGTCCGGCCAGCGTTGTTCGTGGTGAAGTGGATAGAGTGCTCGGCTGATATCCAAGAGGTCCCTGGTTCGAAACCCATCGGTATCTTTAACTTTTTGTCACAGATTTTGCTTTGAATGTAATTTCTTCTTAACTGTACATCTTTTGTTAGAATTTTTGGCATTTATAATTTTATGTTATGAAGAGAATTGAACCTTCATTTGATTTTTTTCATTATCAGCAAGTTTGGTTGGTTAGGTTAGGTTATGACAGTAACTGCCGGACGCCTAATCGACGTCCTGTTACCGGACGCGTATCCTCTGCGTATTGATAACAATGGGATTTTAAACTAACAATTTTGCAAAAGCCAATTGAATACACTATTCTAGGCTTAGCAAGGCAATGGATAATGGATATGGTTGTACAAATAACCTAAACTATGTCTAGAGGGTGTTCTTTGTTTAAGCCTAAGTTAACATAGCCTATTTAGTTGCAAACTTTAAAACTTGCTTACCCCATCTAAACGAAAGTCCCACTTTCCTTGGTCAGGGTATGCAAATGATTCACAAGACAAAATGTAGCTTAGTACTAATGTAAAAATACTGATTAAATTGAGATAACCGGCCATAACTAGGAATGAGATAAAATATTTTAGCCAACACTATTACTATAATATCTTACTAACAACTTCAGTTACGAATAGCTGATTGCAAAATTAATCTATGAAGCAAAACATCTTGATTATGAACTATATTTGTGTTATGATAAACACAACAAGAGGACTATAAATCGTTGACAACACAACAAAAGTTGTTGCAAATGCAGAAAAGGTGACTGACAACTACTACTACATCAACATTAACACTAAACATTGCGACTGCGTCAACGCATTGTCACTTGTCAGCCATCATGATCTGTCATGTTCTATCAGCTGTTTTTAACTACAGCCTCTGTCGGTCTCTGTCTATAGCTTCGTGTATCATTGCTCTTTGTAAAGAAATTATATAATTTCATGTTGTTGTATGATGCTGGTAAAATAGCAAAGTGAAACGGTTAAACTGCAGCGATTATTACATGATTACAGATTGCACTATTAATTTACCTGGTCCTGGTATATGGATGAGAGTATGGAGTATGACACAATTGAATAAGGAACAAGAAAAACCCAAAGCGGAATTATGTATAACAAAGTATAACCCTGGAGCGGTGCGAGCGGTAGCGGTATACCGCCCGTACCACCATAGATAACACCATTGACTATATATACTTCTCAAGGTAGCCTACCACTGACCGCCGAGATGCAGCATGTTCCGTTTCACCACCCAGCGGTGCCGGTGCGACGAGCCTGGTATTTGTGTTTCTCGTCTTTTCTATGTTCAGGCATCAAATCAATGTGTATGGTATTCGCCATGCTCAAATCGCTTTTTGTGATGTAATGTACCCACTTCCTTAATACCTTACCTCCTCCTTCGTCTTTTACCTACAAAGTGGGATTGCTCAAATCAAATTGTCTTTATTTCATAGTTTTACTGTACATCAGTTTTAGTAGGTGACCTCCAAAAAATACATCTAAAACTTAACCTAAACAAAACAAGTCTCTATAAAGAAAAAACACTTATTTGGCATTAGGCTACATTCTGGACTATTTTGGGGTAGGGCAAAGCAAGGAGAGGTAGGTGAAAAATTAACAAAATAAATAGAGAGTATTGTCAATGACTTAACAGTAACTTAAAATATTGGTCCAAAAAAACTGTCCTCTTGAACTCAGTCTGTGCAGGTGTAGTCACATGAATTACAATACCTAGGAACTTATTTCAGCTCTAGGAGATTTCATTTGTTAAGCCGGGTTTTCCTAGACTCGGAAGAGGAGAGCGGAGAAGCGATTAGCATGGCATTCTGCTACGCTTCTAGGAAAACAGTAACATTAAATTACCTAAAGACAAGGGAGTCCGCTCTCCGCGTTCCACTCTCCGCGCTCCGCTTCCACGGCTAGGAAAACCCGGCTTTATTTATTTTTTCTATGGATTTGGATTGTAACTTATCCTATAGTCGATTGATTGTGCACAAACACTACTCGCCGTTACCAAAATTTGGGAAGTTTTACGGGAAGAAATCTATCTCCTACACATCTTGATCCTACCATTAAATCATAGCTCAACAGCTGTGATTTTGTCAAACCACAAATTAGCTCTGCAACATAGGCTACATTAAGTATAGAAAAAAGTGGTGGGGGAACTTCCCCTCAAACAGCCCAAATATTGCGAAGAGATAGATCAGGAGAATAAACTAATGTTCCATCTCCATCAACTTTTAAGGATGGGAAAAACTTACCAGCTTTAAAAATACTCTTGAGTGCAGAAAGAGTTGAAATATAATTTGGCATTTAAAATATTAAGCAAACTTATTAAACATCTTAAAATTATAAATCTGAAAGTTTTTGGTTTGTGTGTTGCTCAATCACCCATAAACTACTGGACGGATTGGGCTGAAATTTGGCATGATGATAGCTCACATTCCCTATTAACATTTAGGCATATTCTTATCTCAAAAATCGTTTTGGGCTCCGCCCCAGTGGCTCTGTGGTTCCCCATGTTAACTAGGTACTTATGAGTACTTCTTTAAATGGAATTAAAGAATCTTTAACAGCTGGTTCAACTAAACAATTTGATTCTGTGATGATCAATAGCATTGCATTAAAAAGTTAACAGGTTTACCAACATAGGTGCAGCACTAATATTTTTATTATTTATTTGACAACAGCTAATTTGCAACCAAAAGGTGAGTGAACGTAGCAAACGAAATTCAACCTGGAGGCAAGTTAGTGTAGCGAACGAGCTTAAAAATTAAAAGACCAAATTTTCTTAAACCGTGTCCTCTCCCATTTAACTGCAATAAGAATTTTATACTTATATGCCAACCCTGTATGATGGACGGGTACTCTGCTAGTATTACATAAAGTTTGTTTGGTTAATGTGTTTTATTTTCCCCACGATTATACGATAATCTTCAATATACACACAGTACTTTTTTGTAAAATAACAAATTATTCAAGATTTTGGGGGGAAACCCCATACTTTTGGGTATCCTGACTTTTGTGTCTGGTCTAGATCTTAACAGTCATTTAATCAGTTGCAGTAGTCTAGTAGTGCTTTGAAAAAGAAAATGTAATCTAGCAATAGAGTTTATAGAAACGTTAACCTTTCTTTTCTGATCTTTCATTCATTGCCTCTGCAAATTTAAATCCATGGGCATGCAAAGGTCACATTTCCATCTTCTGAGTCTTACAATGTTACCAAGAGTGATTACTTTGTTTTTACTTTCATACATACAAATTACGATACAAAGGTAATAAACTGTGTTTTAATGATTTTATGCACATAATTAAGTGTTAAATATTAAAAAAAATGTAATTTTTACATTGAATTCGCATACACCACCTTTTACCTTTTTGGTATACAGTATCATAGTCAGAATAATATTAAGTTTCTATTGATTTTGAAAAAAACAAGCTTTGTTCTGCATGCTTTTGTCAAAGCTGTATATTTCCTTTATTACTATAACAATTATTTTTTAATTAATTTATTCTGCAATTATTTTAAAATTTCTCCCCCCCCCCCCCATTTGTAGTGGGGAAACATCCTTAGTATGTGGCTGCTACGAAGTTTTTATTTATTTTTTAAATTTGGTTTTTTTAACGGTGATATTTCCAGAAAAATCAGACTTTTGCAAAAATGACCTAAACGATTTTGAATACAATTTAGTATGTTATGGTCATTTAAAATCTAAAAACCACCGATCTTTGCGATATACCTATTGGGTCTGATGATGATTGGAGTGACCAATCAAAATTGATCACCATTACCATCTTTTATATATATTTATAGTCTTGTTTAAAACAGTATAAGTGTAAATATATGTTTTAAGTGTTATTAGACATATTTTTATTTACTCTCTGTAAACAAATGTAAACTTGAAAAAAGTTCAGATGACAACTGAATTCAGCACAAACTCTGGCCTAGGCTATAGTAATTTTACGGTATATCATCCAAACCCGCAAAGGCATATCTAGTGGATAAGAGCTTAATTGATACCCAAACCTATAAAAATTTATATTCAGGGTTGATTTGCTGGATACAAAAATCCAACAAATTCTTTTAATAATATGGATTTAACACTTGTGATTTTTCTTCAGCAGTAGTGAGGATTTAGAAGCTAGACGAAGGGAAACTGCTGAACCTTGGCCTGTAGAGAGAGTTGTGTTTGACGTGTTGAGGCGAGAAGTCCTCAGGTCATATTCTGTGGCAGATGTCGTCAGTACAAGAATTAACTGCATTGTCATGCTCACAGATCCTCAACATATGTTGTCCCTGCAGTCTCTGATCATCAACACTCTTCACCGCTCGTACATACCGGTCTTCCTAGTAAGTCGTAGTTCTAAAAGATAAAAAATAGCAAAATGTTTTCTGAAAACTGTTTATTGAAATGCAAAATGGTTGCTAGTTCTGAAAGGCTTAGTTGTTTTTCAACACCATATACCAATTTTCGGGAGTGAGTATAAGAAGTGAGAGTATTTCAGTTGCTATTTGTAACAAAAAGGGTAATTTTTGTGTTCTCTTTAGTTGGTTTGGCACTCTTGGTTTCTATAACATGAAATAAACACTCTATGTAATTTATTAAATTCAGTTTTTTAGTTCAAAAGTCTTCACCTCTTGGATTATTTTAAGTTGACAAAATAACAAAAAAAGAATTGTCTGAAGTTTGTTTGTGTTGAGAGTTTGGTCGGGGGAGGTTCACTTCCATCCTAGGTTTTGCCTGTATGTAAACCACATATTTTTTGACATACCACTACCCTGCCTAATTCTTGTCCAATGGCACCTTGATCACATCTTCATCTCCTTTCTGCCTTCCAATCAAAATAAATACCAACAGCAGCTTCTTTTTAAAACAAAGATTGATGAGAAGCACAGAGGATACAAATGATAAGTGGTGAAGAAATATGAACTGAGATAGGACAAGGAAGAGAAGGCGTCAATGGAGATGCATAGGTCTACTTGATGTCCAGACCTAATAATAACTATAACTAATGAGGTTGTAAATAAACTACTTTTTGAGCTGATCAGTAAAATGTGGTTATATGTTAACTACTGGGAACCTAAAACTGTTGTGATATTATTAGGTTTTGGTAAAGGAAGCTGAAGACTTGTTGGCCCCCAACTATCACACGGTCCGGGTGATGGAGCAAGTGAGACGAGACAATTGTAACTTGTACATCATCTTGCTGGCTAATGGCAGACAGGCTGTCAGGTTGCTGCGGTTTGGAGACAAGTAAGTCTTCCAACAAAACTACAGTGATTAACAGTACAAACACCCAAGGTGAAAGGAATAGCAGGCTTCTTTTAACACGTTCGTGGCGGCAGGGGTTTCTGTATACCTCACGGCAATCCTGAAACATCACATCTTCATCGTCACTCACATTCTCACTACTAACGTAAGTTTCATCGTCACTTGTCCAATTACCTTCCACATCACTATAAATACAAAGTCCCGATCATCTGGGTCCGACATTTTGGAAGAATAAATAAAACCGAAATGGCGATCAAAGCAGTTGTACAAGAGCTCAACCTTACTGACTAGTAAAATACAGAGAGTACCATGCCTACCAACTGCAGCACTTTCCAGTGCAAATATACAGTATACTATTGAGCAGTACTGTGGGAAGTTTCAGAAAAAAAAATCATTATGTGCCGCATCGCAGCTTGGGAGCGAGTGCACCCACTAGGATGGCATTAGGGTTCCATGCCGCCACGAACGTGTTAAACAAGATGAGTTTTGACTTTCGTTTACTAAGGTAGACATCCCATCCTTAACAACAAGGTTAATTTTTCCATCTACTATTATATCGTTAGAGTAAAAAAACCATAATATCTCAATTTGTTTTATTATGTTGAGATATTTAGTAAAACTCTGTGAGTATATAAAATGTTTTGGTATATATAATATGATATTGTTTACAGGTACCGTTTAATAGATACAAGAGCAAGATTTATACTTCCCCATGATGATCACTTGTTTGATCCATCTCTGTCCTATCTATGGAACAAGATTGTCAATATTGTGTTCATCAGAAGAGTGTCGGACAGCTCGGAATATGAACTAAGCACTGTTCCTTTCCCAGCACAAATCAACGGAACAATCAAACTCCATGTGATCAACATTTGGCAGAATGGATATTTTAGGGTTTGTTGCTCATATTAATAATCGACAATAGCCATAAAATTGTTCAAAAGTACTTTTAAGCTCAATAGTTACAGCATGGGCACCTGCAAGGCAGTTGGTTAAAATCTATGCTTTTGTTTTAATGTTGTGTGCTAATGTTTTAAACAGACTTTAGTGACAAATATGTCTAAAGGCTTTTAAGAGAATTTCAGCTTTTAGACTGCCAACAATCATGTTTGATGTTTTGAGTGTTTTACGTAATACATTAGGGTGACAGGCAAAATATAACAAGTCCCAACACCAGGTCACTTTTGAAAACTTTATGATCCAATTTGAAACGTGGCAGAATGGTGTTGCTAAACATGGCATCATTGGGTTTATTAATAAATGGTAAATTGACAATGTTAAGATGAAGAAGCTATTTTATCACAGTCATTATACTAATGCTAGAGGGAAAAAATGAAAACATTTTTAAAAAACTTAACGCAGACAACACATTCCCCCCTGTTCACAAATTCTTTTTGAATTAAAATAGTTTTACAGGAAAATATGAGGATTGAATTGTTGCAGAAAGCAAGGATGACACATTTTCCAGAGAAGACAAGAGATTTACAAAACTACGAGATAAGTGTGGTGACTTTCCCACACATACCTGCCGCTGTTAAGAGATCCGTCATCGATAAATATGAAGGGGAGCAGTTTTATTACACTGGTCTTGAAATAGAAGCAAGTATTTATTTATTTTATGAATTATCGGTTGAACAAATTTAATAACAAACAATTACTGTACTTATAAAGATTTGATATATATTTAATTTAATAAAACAAAACATATATAAAACAATTTTTTTCTAAGTCTATTACTCCTATTTTTTATCTTCTTCTCTTTATTTATAGTAAGCTTTTCCTCCCTGAAAGATTTACGACGACACTTCTGATGAAGAAAATCAAGGAGATAAAATCAGCCATACTAATTAATATCAAACGCCAAAACAATTCTTTAAAGAAACCACTTACAAACAATTCAAGCACATTTGAAAGTTCAAGGAAAGATAAATTAGTTTCTTTGTAAACAAGAAACCTTAAAATTATAAATAAACTTACAATGATATATTGAACTTCATATAATTTTATGAATGAAAAAAATTATATGAAGTTCGATATATCATTGTAAGTTTATCTTTCTTCATTCATTTGGTTTATAGTAGTCAACATCAATTCAAAACCTTTATCTACACTAACAAAATTTAGATCTTTATTTTTAAATAATATATTAAGTTTATTTTTATTAACCCCAATAGTTTTTAATGCAGTATTATTTTGTTTCTAGATTATGAAGAGCATGTCACAAGCTATGAAGTTTCAGCCTATTTTGTATGAAGTTGGTAGAAATGAAGAGTGGGGCATGCGTCAAGTGAATGGATCTTACTCTGGACTATTTGGTGAAGTAAAGCACTAAACAAACACATTGTTATTTAACAAACCTTAACCATAATTCTCACACACAAAGAGAAGAAATGGATCAATTCACCAAAAGGTTTTAAAGACAACCTAATGGAGTAATGAAACGAAACCCAAATTCTTGCTTTTTGGTAGGAAACGTCAGCTAACACTGACCTTTTAAATCAACAGGTACAGTAAAGAACTATATAAAGAGTGACAGGTCATTCGTCTCATTTGATAATTCTTTAATAAATGGTTCTAATCAACTAGCAGAAATCTGATCCAAGTAACAAAGCTATACCTTGGCAATATGGGAGTGCCCCTAAACTCAGGTAAAAAAGTGGCAGTACCATATTGCTAAGAGTATACACAGATCATCTTGTTTCAATTGACTTAAGTGATCCTCTTGACTTTTTAGATAACAAAGTACACATTCTATCTATATGGACCAGCCGTTAGGTACAATTTTTTTATGAAAATAGATAATATAGGTGAATTAACCACTCACAGAATGAGCTTCTGTATATATATTTCCTACCTTGGTGGATGTGGGACTTAAAATATGCTGTAGTTATAGTATGAATTGTAGATTCAATCTGGCTTAGTTTGGAAGCCAATAAAAAAGTGTGTAATTAAAATTACTCTTCGACAAAGTTCATTTTCATTATAAACTTTAACGGGATGGGGTGTCTACTACAATCAATAGTTAACGATTCTACACTCACCCTGCAGTTATATTCGGCTTGTCATACATGAGTGAAAATTTAAAAACGTACGTTTTCAGGAAAAGCACTTTGCAAATTTTTTTCCCCTTTTTTTCAAAACTGTTATTATTTTTTTTATTTAATTAACATTTGAAGTTTCATAAAATGTCCATGGTAACGCAATATCTTTGGTAGTTTTTTTTTTAAAAGAGCATCTTTAGTGGAAAAACACAAAATCCTGTCACGACCATAACAGACGTTTAAATGAATATTAAAAATAGTTAATATTATATTTATAACTATGTTTTGCTATAAACTAATTTACTTTTATGACCATTATACAATAAAAAGGTCACTGAGCTTTTGGTATATTTGGTCTTTCTAGAAAAAAATAAAAAAACTCAAAAAATTGAAAAAAGCCAATAAAATCTTTTTAAGTTTGTATAACTCCGAACAAACTTACCTGAGACCCGAAAAATCGTTATGTTTGTATAAAGGTGTGCTTATTTTGTGTATAAAACATTGAAATATGACAATATTTTAATTTTTTAAATTTTTATGATAGAAATCGTAAACGTGATGGTCAGAGACAAGCGGTACGGTCGTGAATTTTCTGAAATAATCTAAATCTTTCTAAACAATCCTTCAATTATACTGTTAGTTATAATAAAAATATGTGTTTCAATTGAACTAAACTGTTCAATTTACAATTATATTAAAGTTATTGTCACGACCAAACACACTATAATCCATAAGGCTGCAATGGTCGTGAAAAAACCCGCGATGGTCGTGAAACTTTGGTTGTGAAATTACATGTTATTTGGCTCTGTTCTGGCGGTAGCCCTGCACCTCATGTTCGAGGATACAAAGTGGACTTCTAGGTTAATCTAGCAATTGAAATATCTTATAAACAAAAATTAACACCATGTCTACTTCATCGAATGACTACGTACGGTCATGGACACACCAAAATTACAAAAAACACAATCTTTCCTTTATTAATCTTGTAATTCCTCCTTTCAACTCGAAACGACCGGCACTACAATCCTGACGTACACCCCGAACTAGTCTCTAAAACCAACTGACTCCATCGACGTCAGGCTTGCCACTGTCGTGCTCCAAAGTTGAAAATTTTTCCCAAATGGTCGTGACGCCAAATCGAGGGACAGACTTATTTTGTCATGGTAGTCAGTTTGCAATGACAATAAAATTATAATATGCTCCTTTTTTGTACGTTTAATAACCATTGATGACATAAAAATATGGCTTTATATATTTCGGCATGAATAATTAGTCTAAAAACAGCGTGAAAGTTGGAAAATGTACCCTAGGGACACGTCATGGTCGTGAATTTTGAGACTTTAAAAATACGAAAAAAATACCTAGAACCTATTTAAAACCAAATAAATGTGTGTAACATGTTGCCCCCGTCCCAAAAATATTAAAACACATAATAATAGACTACAAATCCAGTATCAACGAAGTAAAAGGCCAGGGACATGAAAACGTACGTTTTTAAATTTTCACTCACATACATAAAATCAGTCGCTGTCTTAGAAAAGTGACATAATTTTTCCAGCTGATGAGTGGGCGAGCACAGATCGCTCTTGGCAACCTACAGCACACCCTGTACAGCCTGAAGTTAGTAGATCTCAGCCGACCTTACATGACACAATGTCTCACATTCCTAACACCTGCTTCACGGACGGACAACAAGTGGAAAACCCTGGTCTTGCCCTTTCTGTAAGTATATGATTTCAAGATGTATTTTAATGTCCTGAAGAATCCAGAATCCTTTATTAATGCTGAATATGCAGAAAAAATTGTCAAAATGCTTCCCTTAATACTCACAAAGTTGATTTCCTTAAAATAAAAAACATAGATGGTAGACACAGAAGATAGCCGTTTAAGAGTTGAAGATTGGATGTACAGTACATTTCTTTTAATTCAAAATACTAAGTCTAATACCTATTATGATTTACTTATGATTTATTTATTTTTTTTTTTTTTAATAATGAATGAATCCTCAATGTTTCAGATTGAATGTTTGGTTGGCAATCATGCTCACTCTATTTCTTGGAGGATTTATCTTCTACATTCTTGCCCGCTACCATCGTCATCTGGAGAAATCCTTTTACAAAAGCACAAAAAATAGATCATGGATTAACAAAATAAGCTTTGGAAGATTTCCTTACAAGAAAAACAGAATTAAGAAAATAGACGAAGAAAAGGGACTGCCATTGAGGACCTTGGTAAATAATTACATCCCTGAGAAGACTCAAGGGCTGCACATATTTGAGGAGCTGCAGAACAGCGTGTTGTATACTTACGGGATGTTGGTGTCTGTATCCCTTCCGAAAGTTCCTACGGGCTGGGCTTTACGTATGATGACCGGATGGTGGTGGTTCTACTGTCTTCTGATGGTGGTCAGCTACCGGGCGAGTCTTACAGCCATCTTGGCCAAACCTGAACCTATGTAAGTGTGTATTTTAACATTAGATTTTTACGAACCCAAAACACCAGGGTTCATATTTTATGATGGAGATGAGTGTTGAATGAAATTATAGCTTTGGTACTGCCAAAGCTAGATCAGCTGTTTTTTTTTTTTTTTTTTTTTTTTTTTACTGGACTAAATAATATTAAAACTAAAAGTTCATTGACCAAGGACACTGGGTCCAGGTCCAGTAGAACCATCAAAGGTGTCAGACTTTTTTTCAGGATTGAACCATTGACATTCTGAGTACTAGACAAGCATATCCTATCCATAGCTATTCTCTGTATACAATAAGGAATCTTTGTTTAAAGATTTTTTTTGCTATAAGTGGATATTATTATAAAGATGGTTTTGGACATTTTCCTTCACAATATTGGTGAAAGTTTTCACAATTGATTATAGATTTGAAATCTGATCCCATCTTCAGGTGGGAAAGTACAGTACCTAAAACATAACAAGATAAATACACCAACCCTGTCTAAGCTGGAAATTTGCAAAAGAAACCCCACTCAGAACTCTACTATAGTCAAAACAAGAAACAACAAATCCTGAAAGAAAACGTCAACAAGTACAAAGGGTAGCGTTTAGAAATACTTAAACTGTTTGTTGATAGAGTTACCATCGACTCGATCAACGAGCTGGTGAACAGCCCAGTTAGATGCGGCGGCTGGGGCGAACCTGAGAAGCTGTTTTTCACTACATCCTTCGACCCTGACATTCACAAGATCGGACTCAAGTTTGAGACCTTGACTGACGTGGAACAAGCCATCAACAGAGTTGCGTCTGGTTCCTTCACTTACTACCAGAACATCTATCTGTTGCAACATGCTGCAATGAAACACTTATCACGCAGCAACGAAACAGATCAAACCCAAAGTGGTAGGGAATGTAGACAATCGGGAATGGAAATTTGAAATATATTTTGTGATTTGTGAGCCAGACTGACCAAAAGTTAAGATTTTTTTGGACAATATTTTTTAAAACTGTTGTATCTTTAAGACTACACGTTAACTATATTGATGTTTTTTTTTATCTCTCGGTCTTTGTAAGTGTTTAATCATCTCTGAATTAAAAATAATTGTTTCATTGTAGACTTCTAGGTCTTTTTTTGTTAACATTCAGTTTCACAAAATTGGTGCATCACTAAATTTATGACAACGCTTTTGGTCACCAACGTTCTTTTGTGTTCATACAGTCTCTCATGTTGCCAAATTAATTAGTAATTCAAATTTCTGTTTTTCATGAACCTGTCATGGACCTGACCCTTGTCAAAAAATAATAAGCTACTGTAGTAACAATTAAATACCAAGCAACACTGAAAACTGAACAGACTGTAACTTCTAGCTTTGAAAAAACTTGAATGTATGTGTACAAGCGACAGACAAGTACGTAGGTAGTGAGAAACAGAAAAAAATAGATACAGTTCTTAACATATTCAACAAACACGGATGTGTCCAAACTTTCTGAAATTAGGACAAAAATTATCATTTTTCAATAACTAAATGAGATGACTTGCAAGAACATATGCTTAATAAACATGGTGAATTCAATAATCATTTTTCAATAAGTACAATTTAATAAGATGACTTGCAAGAACATATGCTTAATAAGCATGGTGAATTCATTTTAAGTTCTTACGACTAGGAAAATAATGAAAAGCAAATAATAAAAACAAAATGATCGGACTCTACTATAAAGTATAATTTGCTCACAATCAACTAACCACATTTAACCTAAGTATTTTCACCTAGGAGAGGAGACCAGCAAGCACAATCTACACATTATGTCAGATTGTGTAATTTCAATGCCGATCAGCATTGGACTTGAGAAAAACTCACCACTGAAACCTCGCATTGACGAATTTATTCAACGTGTTGTTGAAGCGGGGCTCATACACAAATGGCTCGGTGATGTCATGGACGAAGTCCGTCGGAGGAATTTCATCTCCAATACAGAGCAGGTATGTCAAAGTTGTGCTACAGATTTAAAATAGTTTATATAGCCTATATGAAATTAATGGTATCCATGAAACTGTTCTGGCTGTATGCCAACTGGGCAAACTACTAAATCGATTGGGCAGATATAAAAAAAAAGCTAGATCACAAACCCAACTAACACATAGAATCATGTCCTTAAATCCACTCTGACTGTGACATCCAACGAGGTTGAGCTTTAGGAAATAAAAATAGATGGGTTTCCATCCAACAAAAACTGCAATGTTTACATTTATTCCTGTGGTTCCTACCAGTAGCTGATTGAACCAAGGAGAACTCAAACTAAATGGTAAACTTATGTTTTGTTTCTAAAACCTATGGATGGTATGAAACTATTTTCCACATTAGATTAAAGAACAATATTATTGCTCACCCTGAAACACAGGTAAAAAAAACTAGTTCCCAACTAAAATGTTATTAAAATGTTTAAGTGTGTGATCTATTTAAATTTTTTTAACTTTTGATTTTTTCTTGCAGGTCAAAGCTCTGATGGACATGAGGAAGTTTTCTGGAGCTTTGGTGGCTCTGGGTGTGGGCTACATTATTTGTATTCTCGCTCTTATTGCGGAAAACTTGTATTGGCATTTAGTCGTCAGCAAACACCCTCTGTTTGACAAATATTCCATGGCACAGTTTTATTTTTGTAACAAATAAAATTACAATTACAGTCGGGACCACATAAGTTTGCAGTTGGTGGCAGCCAATCACAAGACAAGGCTAGTGCCTAGTGCGATGTTGCCACATTGCCAATGACAACACTAATTAAAATATGCAAAGCAATATTTTCAAATCAGCTGGTATTATTAGATTTGGCAACAACACACCGTTCTCATTGGTCCATTCAAAACCATATGGTAAATAGGCTCCTGCCTCAACTGCAAACTTATGTGGTCCCGACTTTAAATACCTATATTTTAAGCAAGCCAAGTGGATAGTTATTAATTATTTATGTGACTAATACTCTTACGCACAGTTTTATTTTTGCAGCGAATAAAAGCAAAGTTTAATAATTTACTTTAAAGAAATTCCAAGTGGCTTGTTAGGATTTATTTGGAAGATTAAAATATCAAAATTATGAGACTAAATAAGTGTTTGATAAAGTTATGAAGATCGGTCATGAATAGACCCCAGTAGGAAATGCATATTAACTGGTGCTTGATTGGTAAAATTTAGTAGCTTAGATCTAAACCGAAAAAAAAATTAATAACTCCAACTAAATTGATAGTTATATTTAAAATCAGTTCTTCACCAATATGAAGAATAATCAATATGAAACAGGAAATAAAGAAAATTTAGCTGTGGATGTCTATCTTATCTAATGTTCCTCTTATCCCTTAAGTTATATATAGTTTTAAAGGGAAAATAAATACCACACAAGAAAATACTAAATGGTAACAATGAAATATGTGTTTGCTGTGTATACTTCATTCTTGGTTCTATTTTTAGGACGGAGAAAATATTTGCTTTCACATACTGGACGTCCCCATCAACAGATTAACCCTGTAGCCAGACTTTACTATGAAAAAAGGGCCACTATGAAATTAAGTGAGGGACATTTTACTTTCATAATGCCGTTGGTTGGTGTTATCCCCTTGTAAGGGGCTTATACCATATTTTGATGGATTCAAGTATTTTTTAATTTTTGTCAACATTTTAGGAAGGAAAATTATTTTTCTAATTTTCTCTCAGGTAATTTATTGCAGCAAAAAATCATAAAATATTAAGTTATACTAACACCCAACTTTTTAAAGATTATTGTAGTTTTTTAAGGATTTCAATGTTTTACCAATGTAAAAATCACTTATTTTATTTAAATTGTTTGAACTTTAAAAGTTTTAAAAATACAAAAAGACCTCAATCCTCAATCACTCAGTTTTGAGTCTTTTATCTTTTTGAAATCTAATTTTATTTGTGTCACTGATTACTCAACTTAATCACTTCAAAGCTGGTGTAACTATGAACAAACACTTAGACTACAAACTACAATGGGACTGTGTCTGTTGTCTGTTAAATCAGATCACAGATAAGCATGTTAATGACTCAAGATGTTTGTCAAAATGGCTGCTCTGTTATTTGCATTCTATTTGTTTGACATGACATACGTTAAGGTTAAAGTTTATCATAAGACAGGTAAGTTGTTAGATTACTATTCTTGATTAATGAAGGCAATGGTACGTATACTGAAATCGTCATTGCATGCAATTGGCTCTTCTTAATTATAATGTAATGAGGACAATGTATTTAATGATCAAAATTTATGAAAATTTGAAAATAAATTCTGGAAATTTGCTATTTTATTTGTTTATTCAAGTTAAGAGATTCCTGACACAGTGAGTGTATTTAAACTTATTCATATAAAATTTCTTTGAATTTTTATAACTAAGTATAATGAAAGAAGACTAGAGAAACTTAGAAAGCAGAACTTAGTATTATACTTGTTTAGCTTTACGACTTAATATCAATTCTAAATTTTGTTTGTCTCATTTCTTTATTGTTTCGTTTCTACTTGTTGGCTTGTTATGTGTAACTTGTTTAAGTGAAATGTAAGCCAAAGACTTACGTAACTTTCTGAATGTGATACTTATTCAAGTTCATTGTGCTCATGATAAAATGAATAAGGAGTGTTTTTATTTGATTACAATATAGGCTTTGATTAGTTGTCTGATGTCTTGTGACACCTGAAGAATGCAGTTATGTTACCTACTACTAAACAATGGTCACTTCACAAGATCAGGTAAATTTATTAACCTTTTCAATTTGATTATCACTATGTAGGCTACACTATCCAAATGATATTATACTAAATTACTGACCTGTTTTTCAGGATATGGTTTCAAAGGAAAATTTAAACGTTTACCACGAGCACTCCGTAATTTCAAGCCGGAGAGGGACGTGTATTTTTATCTTTTCACTGAGTGAGTTCAATATTCTGTTACAAGGATGGTTAAGTAACCAAAAACAGATGGGATACAAAGATACAAATAAGATACCGGTAACAAAGATAGATGGTAAATTATAATGCTAAAATTATACTTGTAAGACTAAAATTACTATAAATATGAAACATTTTGATATTTAGTCTTTCAAAAATGAACCGGTGGTTTTATCAATTTACAAGATTACCCCCTGGCAAAGAATGCAGACTAGAGAAATTTCTTGTTAGGTAGTTCTATGAAAAAAGGAATTTTTCAATTATATCCACAAATTTGCATCAATGACTGCTGCAACATGAAACAGCAACAATTCTTTTTTCCATTATATTTTTTTGACAATTAGTCTTTTTTAGTTAAATCCACAGTAACAACATTCAATAACATATGTGTAGATTTGTTACAGGCACAATACTCATCAAGGCCATAGGATATATCCAGAAAAGCCATCAAGTCTTTTTATTTCTCATTTTGACTTCAACAAGGATGTCAAAATACTTATTCACGGATGGAAAAATACTGGGAATTCAACATTTGGCCGTACTGTCAAGGATGGTAAAGAATCAAGTCAATGCGATTCACTTGTAAATAACTTGGTCACCAAAAACATTTTTCCAACATTTTAAATTATGAATTGTTGGTAGAAATGCATACAAACTGTGTCTTGTAATTCAAGTTTTGTAATCTTTTAAAATATTTTAAGCAGGTATGTTTGATTATTAAAACGACATTAAATTTGAGCAAGCAGAGTGAAACATTATATTTGCTTGGATTCTTGAAGTTATAGTTTGGGGTTGGGGCAATGTACATTTTTCCACGATGCCCGGTAGTCAAAATAAACAGCAACATATAACTTCAGGAACCGAACCAAGTATAAATAGATGATAAATAATAAAATAGCTTGTTATTTTTAAGTTTAACTTAACTAAATTTATCGATGTATTTAATGTTAGAATTTTAAAACTGCAATTTTAAGGTGTGTAATTTTGATTCAACAGCTTACATCAGCCAGATGGGTGTGAACGTGATCGTAGTTGATTGGCACAAGTTGTCGATACTTGCATATCACAGGTCGTGCAGACACATGGACATGGTCGCAGTCAGAGTCGCAATTCTGTACGACTTCTTGCGACAGTACGTCGCACGACGTGCCATCCACATCATCGGCCACAGTCTCGGAGCTCATGTTGCAGGCATCGCCGGGGAAGTTGTCCAGAGAGGAAAAATATACCGAATTACAGGTCAGTCAGTGACAGATTTGATTGTGAACCAAATTTAACTTTTGATGACTAAGCATGATTTTCTTCTGGCCCATAACCAAAAACAATAAAAAGTTGAGCCCCAATTATCTGCAAGTAATTTTTGGTATGTTTACATAATAACGTCTAACTTTTTTAGGGAGGTTATCAAAGACTATTTTTGCTATCTACAAGGTACAATTACACGGATAATCAGGGCTCTGTTATAAATAGTCTCCGCTACTGTCATTTTTTACATCATCTATCTAAAAATATTTTTGACATTTGTACTAATGTGTTTGTGTCTGTGCAAATACAAAATCGAACCAAACTAATGAAACGGTATGTAATGGGAGGAGTCAAATTTTAAAGAATGTTTTGGAAGTACAGTACCATAAGACAATACAAACAAGCAAGTACAAATAAAAACTGTTTTCAACTACTGTACACCTGTATAAGACGGTAGGCAGTAAGATGGAACAACTAATACTAGCTCTCTGCACTCCAAGCGAGCATATTGATAAACTTTTTTCGCCCACCCTAATTAAATGGATCCCTTCGGATGGTTGGATTTTTACCGAAATTTGGGTATTTTACAGAAAATAGGCCAAGTCATACTGAGCACTGTTGCGATCACAGAACTTGTGTGTGTTCAGCGATCAAAAATGCATACTTCCATCACGATCACGAAGGACTATAATGATTTTTCGTGACTTCAGACTTTGATCATTTAAAGACTTTACTTTTGATCATTTCCAGGATTAGACCCTGCGGGACCAATGATCAGCAAGATCAGGACTCATGGTCGGCTAGACAAGGAAGACGCAGAGTTTGTTGATGTTATACACACAAGTGGGTTCATGTTGGGGTTCTACTCACCCCTGGGACACGCTGATTTCTACCCCAACAAGGGAACCCCCATACAACCTGGGTGTGGGGTGGACGTTGTGGGTAAGTATAAACCTACTTCTGGAGTTTGCATAGATCAAGTGGGAACAAAATATTAACCACTTTTATGGAAAGAGATTAAGTCCAAATAAGTTACTTATTAAAATTATAGTTGAGGGTGGATGGGCAACAAAAGGTTTTTCTCAAATAACTACTGAACTCTAATCCCTTTTCAAAATGATACTTTGACCACTGAACACTCATCTGACCTTGATCTGAATTCACACTAAAAATATGTGAGGTGACACAGTAGTGTCCTGCTATTTCAAACTGACTAATTAGCAGGAATTAGGAATAAGGGGATTTCTGTAATACAGAAATTATTGATCATTGGATAATTTTCACGGTTTTGTCCCAATCACGGGTGATATCTCTGGGACCACAGATGTTCTTGATTTCGTTATGACTGTGAAAGACATTTTAATTTTGCTGTAACATCAGAAGATTTTTACAATTTTGCTGGAACCGCACTGAGCTTTTGTTACCATCAAAGAAAGCTTCTCCGAAGATGCACAATAAAAAATGTTGCCGTAATCGTGGAAGATGATGATATCTCTGGGACTGCAGAAGATGTTCATGATATTGTCGTGATCACAGACGATGTTCTCATTTCCATTGTGACTGTGGAAGATGTACTCAATTTCATGTTACATTCGTACAAACCTGTTGAAAAGTATTTCTGAACTTAAATTTGGAATAGGCGGATTTTTGAAGTATCAGGGTTGGGAACAGCATAAAACTCTGCTGTAGTTTTATTTAATTTTCTTATTCATTAAACTTTAGTAATATTTGCGGTTGAGAAATTAACAACTATATTTTTTTAATTAATCTTTATACTGTTCTAAACCATATGTTGACAGGAAGATGCAGCCATAGAAGATCGTACCACCTTTTTCAAGAGTCAATATTTAACAGTTCAGAGTTTATGGCATTACAATGTCAGAACTGGAAACATTTTGTGAAAAACAAATGTTTCCCCACCTGGCATCGGATGGGAGAACATATCCAGTATGGGTAAGATCATTGCAAATTTCTCTAAACTAGTGTCCCGGTTGCTCGAATTCGAGCAATTGCTAAGTATTACAGGTGTTATTTTTATACGAATAACAGTCATAATTTCTGATGAATTAAAAAGATTCGACTCAAAGATTATGGAAATACTCACGATGTACATAACAGATTATATCGTTTTATCAAGGCTCTCTCGATTTTTTCCATTGTAATATCTGCGCCAACCAAAATTAAAATGGTAAATATCTCAATTCAACCAAGTTAGTAAATGTTTGTAGCAAACTTATTGACTGTTTACAATTAACATGTTTTCTTCTTCTCACTTTTAATTTCTGTCAACAGCTGGAGTTTCATAACAATTTTTGTTTCCTATGTTAATCTTATGGAGAAATACGAAACTTTAAAGGGCCCCAGGGCCTACTTCTCTAATTATTTCCATAAAAAGAAAGTTTCCTGCACAACTTCACGTCACGCTCTTTCCAATGACACCAAAAACATGTCAATCGGTTCAGTAGTTTCGGAGGAGTAATTGTCACAAAAAACCTGCTTGCGTATTAAATAAGTATAGATAATTTAGTTCTTCATTGGATCAACTATATCTGGGTTATTAGAACGGTAAAAAATTAAACTTTTCCTTGTTTCAGAATTGAGGGAAAGTTTTTCTTAAGAACAGCTCGGAAATCTCCTTTTGATGTTGGCTACACTACTGATCTCAAGTCAAGGGTTCATAATTTAACCACCATTTCAAATAAAACTGTTTAATAACCAGTGTTTTTAGTGTTCTCCTATTGTAAAAATGAATGACAAAACAAACAACTGAATATTTATTACGGTATATATCTGTTCTGCCATTGAGATAAGCCCCAAAATGTTATGAAATTGGGCGTCGCGTATGCTCAGTCAAATTCAAAAGGCTGTTCCAGTACTATAATGGCCTAATAACAGAACAGTGGAAAATAAAGACAAAAATAGTGTAGAACTTTTTATTTGCAACCTAATATACAAGTTGATCACTGATCAGTCTTGAAATAACTTTTTGGATTACTGCTGAAGTTTGGGCTTCAGTTAGTTTAGTTATTTTTATCCAAAGGCTAATTTTTAACCATTTGAGTGCCTCGAGCGGATGAAACAATTTTATTTGAGGTTTGCCAGGTCTACATGTGGTGTTGCTTTTAGGAATGCCGGCCATTTCTACACATAAATGCAGGTGTTTAGGAAAATCGTCATAAAATACTTATTTATTAACATTTTTGGCCTAAATTTGTTTTGTTTTGTGGATTATTAGATCGTGCATTGTAAATTACTAACTTTAGTTGGGTTTCATGAGTAAAAATAAAATATTTTCATGGGCAGGACAGAAATATGGTGCAGTTTATCCTCATGTTCAATGTTTGAGTTAAAATAACATAATTTAAAATTATTTTTTGACCTTCAATTTCACAATCATTTTAAGAGCATTAAAAACTAAAGAGAAACCATGTACAGTATAACAAATGTATTTATTACATATGTCCAAAAAAATATGTAATATTTACTACAAAGAAGTCTCGAAAAATTCTAGGCCCTACCCAGCAAACAACCTAAATCGTGCTCTAAGACTTATGATGTTAAGGACAAAACTATACCATTTTACATTTGACTGTATTTTATTTTTATGTTGTTATTATTATGTTTATAATTCAAATTACTATTAGAATACTATTAGAAGCCATGCACAAAATATGCAAACGGTCAAAACAAAATCATGCACCTATAGGCCTAAGTTACCAAGTCCAGTTACCGGTACACTTTATGTGATTATAGCCACAAACTATCACCAAACCTCACAAATAACTTGTGATATTCTATCTTTTTAAAGGTTTCAAATATATTTTTCAACAATTCATGACCATAACCTGAAATTCTATAACCACAACAACTCGTAAACAAACATTTACTAAATCGTAAACAGTCGAAACAACAACAGACGAACCAGCTGTGTAAAGCCGTCTACTATTGCGTAGTGGTTTTTGATTGGTTGACCACATTTCTCAGCTACATTGTTCAGTAAAAGAGCAAAATAGTTGTTGCCAACCTGCTTCTGTCACATTTGGTGTGATTTGCAGCCAGCTTTATTGAAATGTGATAGTGGATTATCTGAGCATCTCGCTCCGAAACGCCGGCATTTCTCACGTAATCTTGACCGTCTCGCTCCGAGACGCTTGGCACTCAAGCTACGACAATGGTGCGTCTCGAAGGGAGACGCGGAGGCACTCAAAGGGTTAAATCAGATTTCACAATAAAATCTTTGTTAGATCAAACATAAAACGTATATTAATGTAAATAAAATCTATTACAAAAATGTTCAAGGACAGCAAATAACACAACAATAACAAATTTAGATAAATTACCCAGGTATTATCACTATTAACAGTTTAGAATATTTCTTAAAAACAACCAGTTTTGACTTCTAATTTTCATCAAGTAAATTGTATTTTTTAAAGTTTCAGAGTTAGATATCTTGACAGATATCCAATACAGTAGAACCTAGTAGCAAATAGCAGGACTCGCTTTGGAAATGAATTAAACTTATTATTGAGGTAGACATCTTATTGAGGTATTTTTACCAAGAATGCATACAAAAGCATAAAAATAAATATAAATAAGGTGATATTATACACATATCACTAACATGGTCAATGTTCTGGAGACTTCATTAACACAGTTATTTAAAATAAAATAAATATTTTAAAAGTTATTTAAATAAAGTTCTAGAGCATGGTTACTTTACAGTACATTGAAACTAAACATCACAACTCAGAAGTGTAAATAATGTACAGTACTGTATCTAAAAATAATGTAGGAACAGGAACATGAGTTTGAATGAATCTAACTTAACGCTAACTAAAATGTAATGTGTACATTTTTTGAACAAGGAGAAAAGTCACAAGTATAGGAAAAACAATTAATTAACTTTAATTACAAAAAATGTTACTATTATTTAGGCCTGCACTTGCGGTTTCCACTGAAATATAGAGCAAAAAAAGGGGAGGAAAATGTGAGAAACTAGGAATGCCACGAAAGAAATCTGGGGGGAAGGAAAAACAGAAGGTGAGAAAAAAAGGAAAAATAAGGGTAGGAGAAAGTAAAAAAGCAATAGAATGGGAAAGTAAAAAGTGAGGGAGGAATGCTAAACAGGAGGAAAGGGGACGAAAATCTAAAAATCATAGGAGGGGGGAGGAAAACAGATGAAACGAACAAAAACATGGGAGGCAGGCATCTACATTATTCACTCAGTGATCATTAAAATTGTATTTCGATAAAATTTAGATACCTGGATGTTTTTTTTGTACTGGAATTCTATAGAATCTTACAAAAGCATTTATTTCTAGCAAACGTTATTTTGAATTACCACTTTGTAGATTTCGTATCACAAAGAATTGTACAACAAAAGTTTCACAAGTTCATGCGAAAGTATTAAAATATAAATAGTAAATATACATTTTCAATCTTCAGTTTTAAAAGATTCAGAACCTCAGTAAAAATCACAGTTTAAGTTGCTTATAAAACTAAGCAATGTTGTGGTAAAAATACCCTTTATTGTTTCTTGAAACTTCTCAAAATAGGGTGCATGTTGTCCAGAGCTTCTTGACTTTCTTCTCGGTTTTTCGCACCTAATCAAGGTATTCATTTATTTTTTTTTTTTTTTTAATTGAGGTAACTAGTAACTTAACTACATGATTGAATTCTTGAGTCAGCTCTTCAGTATATTTCTTCACTTTCAAGATGATTTTAATTTTTTTTACATTTTTCAGATAAAAATTGCAATAGGTTTCTTTAAATGATTCACAACATTTAACCAATTTAATCAGATTAGAATTTTAATGATTATAATAAAATTATATTGCTGATACCGTTTAAATTACTGTTAGGATATAACTTCTTAACCCAATCATTTAAAAAGCTAAGTGTAAAATAGTTTGAATAAGAGTAGTTAGGTAAGGCAAGGCTCCATAGCAGTATTGTTATTTTTAGAATGATGAGAGGGTAGCTGGCTTACCTTGGAAAAGAAACTTTGGTAGGCCACAATACACATACACACAGAAAACAAAAAAAAATTAGGGATGGTCAAGTCTCGAAATTTCGGGAAATTTTCGGGAAATTTTAAATCTCGTTACACGAGACGAGATTTCTTTTTGGCCGAGATTTTTATCGAGACGAGAATAAAAAAAAAAAAATAAAAAAAAAAAATAAAAATAAAAACGCCTGCAGAAAGTCAATGCAATACCCGCAATACAGGAGCGTGTTGTAGTTGCGTTTCCTTTGCGAAGGCGTTCTTATTTAATTAATTCTTCAAATGTAAATATTACTTTAATTATTTTAATAATATTTGAGAAGTTTTGTTAAGTGTTAGCAGTGTGAGGAATGTTTTATTACTATAAAAAAAGTCAAAACAAGTAGGTAACTATTTTATAAAAATTAATATTTTATTTTATGATTTATTTTATTTTAGGATAAGTTGAACTCTATCCTAACTGATATCACTATGTTTCCTAATCGTAGGCATTTTTAATAAGTTAGGCGTGATTAATAAAAAAATGTTATACTGATGTTTTTTAATAAAAGATTGTAAATATTCTTGCCTATTATCATTATTTTTGTATTTAAACAGTCATCTAACAATGTTACAAAATCAGGTAAAAATTCCGAACGTGCATTTCCCGTTGTGTATGAGAAGGGAAATCCCGTCTCGATCTCGTCTCGAAATTTTATGAGAAATAAAAAATCTCGTCTCGTCTCGTCTCGAACTAAAAATCCAATCTCGTCCATCCCTACAAAAAATCAAACAATTTTTGTCACCTGGGGAGTCCTGTGAAATTATTAGGCTTACATGCTAGTTCTGAAAAGTATTTTAAAGTAAACTAACCTGTTATGACAAGTTTTCCGTTGACAAAGATGAGTAAAACAACTCGAGGTTTAACCATTCTGTAGATCAAAGCAGGAAACAGTTCCGGTTCGTAACTGAAACGAAAAATGTAATGTTTACACCGTTCATCTAAAATGTTTGTAAGTACCAAGATTGTAAACTTTGGATGATAAAGGACTAAAATAAATGTTTGTCAAAGTTGTTAACGATAAATAATCATATCAAATGCTTGCCAGCTCAAGGTCCCACTAGAAAAACCGGCCATACTGCAGCACAGACAGCGCAACACTACGTCACAGTGGTGGATAGTTGTACTAAACTCTTACCATTAAAATCTTACAAAGATTCAGCTTGTTTATTTACCTAAAACATATGGGAATGGTAATAGCAATGAATTTATCAATGGAATCTATCTACTATAGTTTGGCCGCTTAGAAAGCGACCTCCTCTAGCATTGGTTTAGCATTAGCGTGTAGGTCGTTTTCTAAGCAGCCGAACTATAGTGTGACGTCATGGATCCTGCAGCATGGCCTGTTTTTCTAGTGGGGCCTTGGCCAGTTTAAGTATAGAAAACAATTTCTATTTGCATGTATCAACGAACAACAACAGTTGGAATATGCATTATTTTGTTTGATAAGTAATAATTTGTTCAATATATCTTTATAAATTGTTTTAGGTAATAAATAAAAGGTTAATCCAACTTCACTCACCTGCTGAACTGTCCATGCATCTGATTCAAATTTTCAAGCCTTATTGGGAATCGGAGATCACACATGGTGACCATATTGTGAATTTTGAAGTTAAGGAATCTCACCTGTAACATTAAACACGCATCATATGTTAAATGGTTTCTTAATATTAAAGTGCAGTACACTCTTAGATTGTCTCAGATTTTGAGGTTGGGGTTCTGGAAAATAAGAGTATTAATAAATCCTTTTTTTCTGAAAGATTGTTTTTGAGAAAGATCGTGAATAAAAATTTCCTCGCTTAGTGACTTTTTGAAGTTAGGCCTAACTGAAATATTTGTTGACCATCAGACTCGGTCTTTAATGCAGATTACAACGATATAAGTTTCATACAAACTTTTGAATTGTGTATATTTAGGGAAGCGTGTCAATAAGCGGTGTGTATATGGGCTGCACTGCACACTGGTCCGACCAGTAGAGTCCGTGCGGGTTCATCACAGCCACAAGGCAGTGGAATCTTTTTGCTCGTCGGCGTGAGCCAGCCCCTGTATAGGACACACCCCAACAAAGGAACAGAGGAACGTTGCCAAAGAAGCCCTGGAATGGAAGCCTGCTGGTAAAAGAACAGTTGAAAGACCTAGAAATACCTGGAGGACACAGATGGAAGACAAGGCAAGGGAAAGTATCAAGAGAGTGGTGACCAACATAGTGGGGTAGAGGGGGACAGTGCAGGTCCTCTATGATCCAGGAGGAGTCTATTAGAGTTATAAACTCTAAAGCACTTTGAACTGGCTCTTTGCAAGTCTCACCTTAAACCCGAGTTTCTGGATGATCCTAGCGAACTTCCTGGTAGCAAGGTGAGCGAGATCCTCGTGTTTGGTGCCTGTCACCACGATCTTGCCGGAGCTAAAGATGAGTGCCGTGGCCCGTGGGTCTCTCAATCGCATCACCACGCCACAGAACCTCTGAGGGTTATACTCTGAGTTGCGTGTGCGGAAGTTAATCTTTTGTAGATCCAGCTTGCAGTCCAGATTCACTGTGCAGACCAGATTTCTGGAAGTTTTTAAAAGGACAACAGTTCAAATGTGAAAAAAATAATCATTTTATATAGTGTCACATTTACTGGTGTATGGTAGAGGATTATGCGGCTTACACTTAGGCCCTACATAAACTGTCTATCTGCGATTTCTGGGATAATAATGATTCAGCAACTAAGTACCATGGTATACTATACAACTAGCCTATTTCAATAGTCATTTTGATTACTATTTCTAGATACAAAAATTATTGATGCCATTCTATAGGCTATGTATAAAAGTATAAATAATGAAAAAAATATTTCTTGTTCCAGTTCTAATAGGCTAAAATAAATCAATTTAAAAGTATGATATTTAGATTTTATGATTTTTGAGATCTTTGTGAAAAAGATTAAGATATAAGATATTTCACCCTCCTAAGTGTACCTTTTACAGTAGGATAGCTATTAAGAAACTCACACACCATAACTCATACACCATGAGTCTAATAATCTCATTTATGATTATAATCACTCCGACCTATAGGAGCTTAACGTAGCCTATTCAATTTTCACTTATTATAAAATGTTTACTTCATCTTGTGGATTAGTAAACGTTGTAATTACAATTGGGGTTACAGTTATATAACAATTAACCTAACTAGAGTATACCTAAGTTTAGTATACAGCTCAGAGTTCTTGATATGAAACATAAAACTTACTGAACAGTAAGGGTCGGCCCGGTGTCTACGGCAGACGGAGGCAGAGATATAGGCATTGCAGATTGTGGTGCTGTGGATGAGCTGGCTTTCTGTGGCACATTTATCTAAAAAACGCAAGTTTAAGTTTGAATAAAACGTCTAAAATCAATGTTGAATATTTATTAGCGAAGATTTGTTCTTGTTCAAACCCTTTGATATGTTGGAGGACATAGCCTAAGTAAAAATTATAATCTGCACTACAGCTTAATTATTGGTAGATAAATACAGAGCGATTTATCTACCTAAATCAGTTATACAAAAGATGAATATTTCGAAATCATTTTCACTGTTTACAATCTGACTGTGTATCTAAAAAACGCAAGTTTAAGTTTGAATAAAACGTCTAAAATCAATGTTGAATATTTATTAGCGTAGATTTGTTCTTGTTCAAACCCTTTGATATGTTGGAGGACATAGCCTAAGTAAAAATTATAATCTGCACTACAGCTTAATTATTGGTAGATAAATACAGAGCGATTTATCTACCTAAATCAGTTATACAAAAGATGAATATTTCGAAATCATTTTCACTGTTTACAATCTGACTGTGTTTAAAAACATTCATCTAAAGGATCATACTGTTAAATTACAATCAACATTCAAACCGTTATGAAAAAAGTTGGTCAGCATCACTGACTTAAAAGTTAACTCTATAAATAAATGAAACAATAAAAGGGATTAATATTTTATTGTTCTTACTTTGGATCTCGTGCATATAGGCTAATCCAATAGTCAATGCTAGAAGACAATAATCACATTTTAAAAATCCAACGCAATGAAGATAACATTATGTTAGTCAATGTGAATATTTTATAGTCAAATGCCTACTTACTGAGGATGGTGGTTGCATTAATTGTTCATCATCATCTCCTAAGTCTGTATTTTGTGAGCCTCCAGCTGCCACCAACGAACCTCGTGCCGTTAGAACCATATCATCAGCCATGACAGAAACTGGAGATCCCCAACTAGATCTATATGACAAAACTTGTGTCAAACTGACAATTAATTATTAATACACTGAATTAAAGGAGTATCTTAAAGTCTTTTAGATTTACCTTTAATTGTTCTTGCATGAATTCTTAATTAAGGTAAGATCTTTGAGTCACCTTATGCATTTCACCACCTTGTCTGGCATCATAAATACAATTTATGAATGGCTTGTCAGAAACCCCCTGTATAAGATTGATGATTTTTTTGCTTTACATTTAGGCCTAATGACATAACCAAATGATTATCTAATCCAGCCTTGAATGTCAGGTATTTTTCAGCCTGTCTATGCTTATCTGCGTTTGTGCCATTATTTATTTGCATGTTGTGTAAGTTTAGGTGTCCTAATATCCTGTAGCCCACTTGTTTACTTTTAGTTGATTGAACTTGACTTATGCTTCTACTAGTGTGTATTTATATAGGTAATTTGACTGTTTCTCATGCATTTATATAATGTCTATGGATGAATAAATATAATTTCATCTTGGGGGTCCAGAGGTTATTACGCCCCTTTACACCTCTTGGTTAGGCGACTAAAGCTGCTTTGATCGTAGGTATAACTTACTCAATGAGAATCTTATGCTTTGCATACTACCATTATTATTATAAATTGAGATATGGGGACGCCACCTAGATGTGTTAAAATAAATTCGAAAGGTGGTGTAGAAAGGAGTGAGATGATCTGTGTAGCTCTATTACTGACTTAAGTTAAGCTATTTCACTAGCCAGGATCATTTATTAAAAGTCCAATAATCAGGGAAAGCTTTTAAGTCCAGTTTGAACCATAAAAAAACTAGGCATGGTAGGCCTACTAGAATGGTTGACCATGAGGGCAAATCAATGGGTGACTGATTGGTCAAGATTTTAAGTAGGTGTTGTCTGCCGGTAACGATAAAGCGCCAGAAGTAGTCCTAGGGTGGATTAAGAATAATCATAACTTGAAACTTATTTTAGCTGATAACCCTCCGAGTGTCCATAGTTTAGGCCTTAATGTCCGCCTATTTTTGGCGCATTTGCAAGGTTTTATTAAAACCGATCTGAGAAGCTTAAAACAATGTTAATTCTACTGTTCTATATACCATTTTGTTTGGAAAATCATGGGCTTCAATATTATTCAAAAAACATAAGGAACATTTGTTTCAAAAAAATTTTTTAGGTAAAAAAAAAATATTTTGGAAAATTTTCAAAAAAAAAAAAAAGTTCGCACTCAATGAAATTGGATAAATTATAGGCCTATAAATATTTGAAAATAGCCACTTTGTTCTAAATTTTATGAGGATTACAAATATATAATAATATAAGGAAGTAGATTTGCAAATAAATAAGTTATGGGCAAAAAACAGATTTCAGTACCGGTACATAGCGTTTAGCTAAGAATGCATAGCCTAACCATAGCTAGGAATCTGGCTGATAATTTACTTCAATACCTACTTCTTCAGGATCATCAACCAGCCCTTCAAAATCACTTAAATCTTCTTATAATGCACCACGTATATCACTACTTTTGATTTTTAACACTAAAACAATGATAAACGTAATAAAACACATCAGTCATCGGTCCGAGGGTAACCTAGCTATTTACAAATACGCACGTCAGCTGTCTGCTACAATTACGATCGGCTCGGAGAACATACAGCGCTGAGACAGACCTCTGGAGAAAGCTTAGAATATAACGAGAAGAACGATACCTAACTCGATCCAGTTCAATCCGATTCAGTCAGTCATAGAGCCTTCGCCGTAAACGATGTTCGCGCGTCGAAAAATCGACGCATGACACTACACAAAGTGTGTCGCGCGTCGATTTTTCGACGAGTGACACTCGGAGAGTTAAGTTATGGCACAACTCATGGGTGATACACCAGTCAGCAGGAGAGTTAAGTTAGTGGGTGAAACTTATCTGTTAAAACTATAGGCTTGGTTGGAAGTTAAAGAGACAAGTACTTAGCCTATAATTTAGGTACGGTAGGTTGACCTAAGTTGCTCCAGTTTTTGCAATGAAATTAGAGGGTTTAAGGGCTGCACTTTAATATCTTTCCACCAACACTCACTCGAATGAATATATCAATCGATATTCGATATATTATTTAATTTGATATTTATGATGTTTGGTTAGTTAGGTTAACCTAAGTTAACTAACCGAATGAAATAATCGATATATCGTATAGGTAATCTACACATCGATATTTATTATTCGAATAAGTGTAGGACGGATAGGCCTACTAAAGTGCCGCCGGTTTAAGAGTTAGTAATTTTATTATTTTACTTTTGACCTTGTTTACCTCATTGCACAAGCATAGGCTAGTTTTTTTTTTATTAACTTAGGTATATATTATTTTAAAACAAGATTTTAATACATACTAACTTAATTTAACAACAATAAACTAAATTATGGTTAATGCTCAAAATGCCAATAGGCTACACCTCACCTGAGTAATGAAGTGGAAAAAAACCAATAAATAAGTTGCTAATAGCCTACTCAGAGTTTCTGAACTAAACGGATTTAGAACAAATTATCGGTTAATTTGCTTAATAATGCCTATGTTAAAAAAAACAAAGAACAGAACAACAGAAGTTGGAGAAGTTTGCAAACTAGGCTTTATGCTAGACTAGGGCAAGAGCACGAGCACACGCAACACGCCAAACGCCAAACACACAGAGCAGCAGCAGACAGCCAATGCCATGCATTAAGGTAAAAAAGAAGAACAAGACAAAGACAATAATGTAATGAGAAAGAATGACATCAAATGTGTTAAACAAAGGTCCTCTTAATTTTTTTAACCATGAAACTTTGAAAACTCACTTTTTTGATTATTTTTCTTTAAGTTTATTAACTTTTGTGCTCTTTTTATAGATAAATGCGGATGTATTAAACTGGTAAGTATATTTTGATTTAGCCTTGGTTTATTCAATTTTAGATTTATTTTCCCATTTTCCAAAGTTATTTTTTAAATATAAATCTAATTTTGAATGAAAATAGTCTAAAAAGAATCACTTATATCAAAATAATGTTACAAAATAATGTCTCCACTAAAACTAGACAATGAGTTTTTGTCCACGAAGCAAAGTAATTGTTAGTCTTACAATTAAAACCTACATCTTTGTGGACAACACTGTGTGTTTATCATACGCAGATAAGATCACTGTCACTCCAAGTGATAAGAGAATTAGAAATATTTCCTGAAATAATACAATGTACCTACAAGGAAAAGTCAATACATAAAAAATAGGTACTTAACTAGTCCAAGCCTGCAACCCACCATGCAGAGAAGAAGAAAAATTAAAAAACTGACGCAATGGTCACATATTTTTGACTAAAATAACTTAACTTACATACTTAGACAATGGACAACTCTTTATTCCGTTAAACAATATACATCGCAATAGGAAAGGTCAGTATACAATTTCAACACATTTAAACTATAATACAGTCATCGTTTACGATGGCTTCATTTCAAACCACTTGCTGTGGTGGACAGAAAGGGTTGAAGTCTCCAGCGTGCCGAGTGTTGCACTGGTGGGTATCTTCATTTTTGGGGAGACCCTTCAAGCAGGCGAGTGAAATAACTTCCAAGATGTAGATGTTCACCACAGTGAGAACGTTCCCACTGTTTGAAAGGCCCTCGGCAGCTCTCCCTCCAGCCTAGGCCAGCCATGAATCTTAACACTCTCTTTTGCAGGACCAGCACACGTTGGATGATGTGATGATGGATGTGGAGAGAGGCACTTCCCCAAAGCTGAATGCTGAATGCCATACCTGAGATGACTCTTTCAAAGAGTGAATGTTATTAGGGCTTCTGTCGTACTGGTACTAATACAGTTGATGCGTCTTAGAGCGAAGGTTTCGCTGCTCAATCTCATGCATAGTTCGTCTATGTGATCTACCCATGAGAGCCTGCTGTCAATAACCAAGCCAGATGCTTTGACGATTCAGTGACCTGAAGATCTGGACAGCCAGAAATCTCATGTCTCTTCGTTCCCATGTTTACCTGCTTGGTTTTCCCCGCATTGAATACCAGTTCGTTCGTTGCAGTAATCAATGGCTAGGTTTAAGCATAGATAAAACATAAGGCAATGTTAGAAGTAACTTCTAGATCTTCAACTCATCTGCTTGAAGTTACTAAGACTGTATTATCACCGTACATTAATGCTTTGCTGTACGGCTCGATGTGTGATGGAAGATCATAAGTGAATAGGATACAAATCACCGGCCCCACGAGACCCTTGGGGTATGGGTACGTCTCTTGAAACAGGAAGTAGTTCTGGCCCAAGTAGCACACATCGTTGGCCCAACGTTGGGAAATGGTCGGCACGGTTGGGAAATGGTTGGCAGAAATTTTAACGATTTGCCAACGTTGGCCCAACGGAAACTGGTATTCGTTGGCCCTACAAAGGAAAGAATCGTTCGGCCTTCGTTGGGCATTCGTTGGTTTTAAGTATAAAACATTCTAAAACGAATTTTAACAAATTGATTTATTTAAAAGTACATAAATGGTATGGCAGCAGAGTATAAGAAAAATATTGTAAACATTTGGATCAATAATGAATGTAGTCAGATGATGTTGTGATACTAGATACAGTGTGGGGAACACCTGCTTAACATATAATAATTATTAAAAATTTTTTTTAATATTCTTTAACTTATTTAAGCAAGTTTTTAATAGTTATAGAGAAAAGATTAATTAATTATATAACAATCAATTATAATAGTAGCCTACTAATTTAATGGTAATTAAAAAATCTATATTCAAATACTATTATCCTCTCCAACTACCAGAAAAACAATTCAACTACTTGAGGCCTAAACAGATTAACAGAATCATATTATACTGTAGCATAAAAAATATTTAAAGTATTAATTGTGACCATTGCACCTGTTGGCTTCTCTTTCACCACTTGAAAACACTCTTAATCAACAAGCACAGTTAGCTCAGAGGTAAGGCGTGAGGCTCACATGTCGAAGGTACCGGGTTCGAGACCCGTCCCGGCCAGAAAATTTTATTTCGTTTTAGTTTCAAAATAAGTTTTTAGTAACTATTTAATCAATTTACTCAACTCATAATTATGCTTTGCATACAAAATCTTTATTATTTTGTGTTTTTTATGTTTATGCCCAATGGGATGGTTGGCCCTTCCGCAAAAATTGGTTGGTTGGCCAACCGTAAGACTGAGTGCCAAAACATACCGTTGGCCAACGATCGACAGAAACGTTGGGCCAACGATTTTTGATACTTGGGGGTATGTATGTAGAGACTTTCCCATTCACTTTCTGTCTTAGTTGAACAAGTTGGTTGCGTCCCACTAGGTAACTCTGAAATTATGTGCTTTTATTAATAAAAGATTCTTTGACTTCGGCTTTGAACAGGCTACCTCACTTTTGACACAATTAGATACATAATTTATGAAATGTTTAATCAGTTAAACATACAAAATTATCTTAAATCTTTTAAGATTTTTTCTCTACCAGTAGTATAGGTTGTCGCCGCCGTTTTTTGTGGCACGAGGTTTTTGGGGCAACTCTCCGCCCATGCCTAATTGCTAGTACATCTACCATTCCCCTTTCTAGTTGATGTATTATATTTCTGTCTTATCTTATCTATATATTAGACGTATGAGTTGTTTAATATTGTTAGTATAGTTTGTCGCCGCCGTTTTTTGCGCATCGAGGTTTTTGGGCCAACTCCCCCCCCCCCTCACCACCTCACCACTACCCCATGCACAATTGCTAGTACATCTACCATTCCCCTTTCCAGTTGATATATTATATTTCTATTTCAAAATCATGTATGTGCGAACTCGGCTCATGGCGTGGGCGCGCTCCTGGTCGCGGGCATGCTCCCTTGGACATCCTTAGTGGAAATCCATGAGTTCTGGCTACTTGGGAACCCAAGCCATTTGACATACAATAAATCACCTTTTCTCCTAATTACCTTTTCTACTAAATACATGTCTTTATATTTGGTCTTTAACAACTCCTCTGTATAGAAGCCTCCTCTGATTATATTACCATTTTCATCTTTCAAGATATAAGTCACAGGCTTTGTATTCTTAACTTCTACTATTGTAAATAGTTCCCCTGTCCAATTTGGGGTATATCCTTTACTAAACACATGTTTATATTTGGAAATTCTCACGCTATCACCTACCTTATATCTTGGCTTTTTAACTTGCACTACTTTAGAAGTCCTTTCATGTAACCTCTCATGCACATATTTACTGTTCTTAATATTCACTTGGTTAGGCTTCATTCCTATAGATCTATGCACTTTATTATTATATTTTCGAATTAACTTTGGAAGTAAATCCAACCATTTATAACTCCCCTGAGCACTAAATTCCCTATATAACCAATTCTTTAAAGTTCTCTGAAACCTCTCCACAATTGCAGCCTTAGTTGTAGAAAATGTGTGATAGTGATTAATATTTAATTGTTTCATTAGTTTGCTAAAATATTGATTAAAAAATTCTTTTCCATTGTCAGATTGAATGTTTTTAACCCCCTTTGGTAGAATGGTTTTAATGGCTTCTGTAACCACCAGCCCTGTCTTATTCTTTAGTGGAGCAGCATAAGCTTTTTTAGAAAATGTATCTATTAAAGTTAAAATATATTTATTGCCAGAATTCTCTCTAGCATAGTTTTGCATATCAATTAAATCTATTTGTACAGTTTCGTTTATACCTAATACTTTAAAAGACCTTCTAATGAAATTCTTTCTTGCAGGCTTATGAAGTTCGTATGCAATTT